GTATACTCCGTACTACGATGACTTCACGTGCCTTCGGACGTCATTGTATGGCAGTTAGCAGTGGCCATGGGAGAATATATCTCACCGCCTCGTACATCGACCACCATGTACTCAATCTTGTCCACCGAACTACTTTGACTCTAGGGGTAATACCATAGAACCACAATCGAAACGTCAATCGTTAGGGCTTATTAGAAGTTAAAGGTCTGGCTGATGCCTATAGAATCAAAAGAAGTGCTAGAAGTGGAACATTAAAACCGAAGATTAAGTACTCTAGGAACGCAACAATCTTGGAAGAGTTTTTGCGAAAGTCTAGTGAGAGAAATGTCGCTTGTAAACCCGCAGTGTCTACATATACTAGGTTCCTGAATACATTTTAAGTCTTGTGGAGTTGACATACAGATTTCGAGGGATTTCAGGTGATATATTGAAAATGATCACGATTGCTTGTCGATCAAGAGACAGAGCACTTGATCGAACCATCGGCATATGAGAAATTTATTACAAGGTTGATTTAGAATGTTGAACATATGGGAAGCACACCTGAAGCTCAAAGATTACCGTTACTCAGATCTATAAGTCCACATTTTGCCAGATATTGTCATGGTGGCCACTGATGCCTGGCGTAAGAGCACCGGTTATCTTCGGCACTTTGGCGACATCCAGTTTCTCCGAATCGCCGAAGCCGAACACGCGTCGACGCGTTCCCCATTCAACTCGATTCGGGAAGCAAATTAATGGGGTATCAAACCAGCCCACCATGGATGAAGAGGTTGTTCCTCTAGGACACGACGTGCAGGTCGTGGACCCAGACGTGCGTAACTATGTTTACGGCCTGGTTACTGCTGTAAGTTCATCTCCACTTTCTTCTTTGACTGGCCCTGTGTCAATTTACTGATACGCTTGCACATCTAGCTCGGCGGGTTCAATGGCGAAAATGCCGACCAATACGTACTCGGAGACGATGCGCTGGCATGCTTGCGTGACATCAAGCGGTGGTTGAAACTGTACGACGAAAAGAATAACCGGATGGATGTTGCGCGGTGCCTTGGAGAGGCCAACTTGATCAATGGTGATCTGCTTCCAATTCTCTCCCTCTGGTGGGCTACTGGACAGAACAACAAGCATATGACCAGGATCTCACTGGCATGCTTGGAACTTCTCGTTCCCTTAACATGGCCCGTGGAGTTTCACAGCCAGATGACAGTCAACCACCATCGTCATACCCCCTACATCCAACAGACACAAGTGCAATACAAGCGAGGTATCCTTAGATCCGGCGGATTGAATCTACTTCGAGCAGTCATTCGAATTGCTCTTCCAAGCATGGCGATCCCTCGATCCGAACGTGGGACCCGAGACGAAGGAATCCTCAAGTTGATGTTGTACTTGCTACGAAACATTGCGATCATATCCCCTAATACTCGACTTGCCGCAGAAGGTGACGAGGAAGAGACATCCAGATCGGCGACAATCAACGCTTTCCATGACCAAGATGCATTTGCACTCCTCTTGACTATGTGCTCTAATGTCGGCGAAGACTTCAACCTTCAAGATATTCCTCTGATGGAGACACTCTTCCATATCGTCAAGGGTGTCAACGTCGAAAAGTTGTTCATGGACGACGAGCAGAGGGCGGCCAAGCGAACGGACGAACTCAGCGATCTATTGAAAAAGGAATCATCGGTACGGCGTGAATACGCAAAGAATGCGCCTACACGCCATGGAAGATTTGGTACAATGATCTGGGTAAAGCGAGACGATGCGAAGGTGTCCACTGTCTCTGGACAGGGTGTATTGCGCGACGAACAGACCACACTACAGAAGATGGACGAGAGCAAAAAGTGGAATAAGCCTCGGCCTCGTCGCAAACAAGAAGATATGACCCAAAACAATAATTTCAACATGCCAGCTCACCTTAATTCCGAGGCAACTAAGAACCTGAGGACTTTCGTGGAGGAGTTTTTGGACTCCGGATTCAATCCTCTGTTCACCCATGTGCGAAAAGCAATCGAGCGCGAAGCCGAGCGTGTGGTAGAAATCAACCATCGCCAATTTTTCTACACAGTCGGTTGGTTTCTAGAAGCAGAGCGCGTACGACGGACTCGACAGCTCCGCCATCGCATGGCTCAGAACGGAGGAAGAAATAAAGACATTGAACCCGATAGCTATGGTCTGGTTGCCGGCGTCCTGAACCAAGAGACCTTCATTTCTCTGAACCGAGCTATGCAAAGTAGCTTGGATAACAAGGAATGGGAAGATCTGAATGCCCAGATGCGCTGCTTCACCCAGATTCTGTTGACTGTCCAGGAAATGGCAGTGTCCCCGCTCGAAGAAGACCAGGAAATAGCGGAGAATATCCAAAACCGAATCTTTTACGAGGAAACAACCCATGACCGAATCCTTACTATTGTGCGCGGGTACAAAGACCAAGGGTTTGGCTATTTGGATGCCTGCACAGAGTTAGCACATGTGTTCCTGCGTATGTTGGAGCGTTATTCCAAAGACAACGCTGACATGCAGATTCGCTCGCGGCGAAAGGCCAAAAAGAAGCAAAAGAAGGCCGCTCAAGCCGCCGAGCAAGAGGGAGGAGATGATGATGACGAGGAGCGTGATTCTGAAGATGAAGACATGGAGGAAGCCGCTCAGGTCACCAAGGAACGTAGCTTTGACTTCAAGCGATTCTCAGCCAAATTCTGCAACCAAAATTGCGTGAATACCTTCATTGCCTTTACAGGATTCTACCGAGAGCTTAACTCTGAGCAGCTCAAACGCGCCCATCGCTATTTCTACCGGATTGCATTCAAGCAGGAGATGACCGTCTTGCTGTTTCGTGTGGATATTATTAGCCTTTTCTATCGAATGATCAAAGGCCCAGGCCCCATGGACTCGAGCAAGTCTGTATTTAAAGAATGGGAGGAATTGGTCCGGCAAATCATTCGACGACTGGTCAAGAAGCTTGATCAGCGCCCAGCCTTGATCACTGAACTGCTGTTCAGCAAGATCAACTCTACTGTCTACTATCTTGAATATGGACATGAAAAGCAAACAATCTCCACTTACAAGCGTCCCCCGCCGGAGCTTATGATTACATCGACGGAGGCGACGACGAAAGAGGCGAAACTCCACATCGTGGTTGGCGCTCTTATTCTCGATGGTCGAGCAGATCTGGTAAAATGGATTAAGGATGTTTTGAGCTCCGCAGCGTCTGAACGAGAGGACTGGGAAACCCAAGAAGAAGTCCGTCGCGCCGAGAACTCCGAGACTATCAACGTTCCCAATCCGATGATTAGTATGTTCCCCCAACATCCATCTGGTTCTCGATTGGTACTAACAATATAACAGCTGTCAAAGGCAAGGATGAGTTCGTTCAAAATGCCATGTTCTCGAATGCAAGGCTACGTCTGCTCATGACCGTCGTCGGATTCGAGCGACTTGGCGTTGAAGATGTCCTTGGTGCCTCTTGGGTCATTCCGGCCTCTCTCAAGTCCGACGACTTGCGCGAGACAATTTCTGAAATTTTGAAAGCCCTTCAAAACTCGTTCTCCGGAGACAACGATGATCCTCGCAAGCACATCCGACCAAAGAACAGAGGAAGCGGCTATGGCAACATTCAGGGCACGCTCGATGTCAACTTCGGATCGGAGTCCGAAGGCGAAGATATTCCAGATGGTCCTTTATTCCCGGCGAATCTGCGATCAAAGTCTAGTGCGCTGGATGACCTCAAGAAGAAGCGCCAAAAGAAGCAGACGAAGGCCAACCCTGAGAAGGAGCCGCTGGATGATGAAATCCTAGAAGCGCGGCGTGAAGCGCGTTTATCAAATGCACTTTCTCGCCAAGCGAGGATCAAGAGTGATCTGTTCATTCATGCCAGCGACGAAGAAACTGACGAAGAAGCCGATAAAGAGTTCTTCCGGCTCGAAGAGGAGAGGCGAATCAAACAGGCAAAAGAAGTCAAGAAGGCCTTGCTCACTGGAAGTGTCGACGTCGCAAGCAAGGGCAAAGGGAAGAAAAAGTCTGCCACCCGCAAGCGAACAAGCGATACTGGCATATCTGCAGCCGCTAAATCGAAGCGGCAGCGCCGTGGTTCTAGTTCTGCTGGTAGCGGTGCTGAGAGTGATGCGGACGGTGATATTCTTATGGCGGAGCTTGATGCTCAATCGTCACACTCCCAGCGGGAAATCTCCGTTAGCCATGGTGCCGGAGAGGATGAAGATACCCCTCTCACATCGGGTGAGGATGATCTTGCTTTTGATGACGATTTCGCCTTCGCTCGAGATCGCCCGAGTAAGCTTCAGGCTACAGCGCCCGAGGCTATAGACGACGAGGAAGATGTGCCTGTGGCTCCAGTCCGGAGACGTATGCGCGGTGGATTTGTAATTGAGAGTGACTCTGAATAGTGGTTTCACTTCAACGTTTGTGACATATTTTATGACCTGATGAGGCGTTCGGCATGGAGATGGAAAAGGAATTGTCAAGGGATACCTAAGCTCAATAAGAACAATTTTAATATTTCCTATCCCAGTCACCAAAGCTACGGCCCGTGGATAAGTCTTGGAAGCATTCCAAAAAAAAGCATGAGGTCCCCCATTTGACATCGGCTGCAGGAAACACATTCAAAGATATTGCTCTTCCCGACTTTCAAGATGGCTGAACGCAGGACTGTCACAGCAGCGTGCCACTGCCGAAGCATCCACTTCACTTTGACGATTCCTGCAGACGCCCTACCCCCCAAAGTCCACATATGCCACTACAGCGCCTGTCGCTACACTCATAGCACACTATGTATTTTCCACAGCCTGCTATCAGCAGGCGTAGTACTGCACTTCATCGCTTCATCCAATTCAGACAAACTAACATCCTACGACTACGCCGAGTCCCAGGCAACGCGGCATTTTTGCAGTACCTGTGGCTGCCACATCGGGGATTGATCACACGATGACGGAAGCTGGGTGATATCTACGGTTATAACCACCGAGGCAAACCATAGTCTACGGGAGATGCATTCACATGCTTTTACAAACTCCTCGCTTGATGATGGGCTTTCAGCAATGTTACAGCATATTGATAATCGCCAGCTGGATGTCTTTACCCCGGAGACATCACTGGGTAATAGTAAGGCCGGAGAAAGTATCCGAAGCGATACTGTCCAAACCCAGGAATTGCGCGCAGAATGTCACTGCGGTGACGTTTCTGTTTCTATCGCTCGTTCAAGAAAGGAATTCCTTGCTAGTCCTGCAGGCGATGGATGGGTTTTGTCAAGAGACATGAGCAAGTGGCTTGCGGGTTTTGATGTCTGTGAAGACTGTCACCTGGTGAGTTCTGGTGAGTTGAATGTTCTAACTTGGATGTTCGTTCCAGCCAATCATATATTCCCGTTCCTGCCGGGGATCTGATTATCAGGTCGTCGAAAAGTTACAAGTCGAGCGAAGAGGTACCACAGACATTCTGTAGGACATGTGGCGCAACGGTCCTCTATAGCTGTACCGACCGGCCAGAGATAGTTGATGTGGCAATTGGTAGTTAACGTGCGCCAGAGGGAGCAATGATTGAGGATTGGGCATGGTGGAATAGAATCAGTTCCGGCGATGATGGATTGAAGTATGATCCGGCCTTCAGTAGAGTGTTAATTGAGGGACTGAAGGTAGGGAGTAGGAGAGGTATGCCGGATGACACCACGAGTGTAGTCTATTCAATGACTTTGGAATCATACATGCTCTAAGGAGATGCTGAGTATACGAAGTGAAGCCTGATGAGTCAAAAGAAAAAAGTGGGGGGGAACAAGGGAAGTATAAAAGCCATCCATCGCCCGTTGATATCCGCAACATTCCCAATATCCCAATATCCCAATATCCCAATATCCCAACATGACTCACCTCAAATTCGTCACCCTCGATGTCTTCACATCCACACCCTACTCCGGAAATCCACTGGCAGTGGTATTCCTCCCAGACGACTCAACCACTCTAACCCAGAGTCAGAAGCAAACTCTCGCTCGGGAATTCAACTTATCAGAGAGTATCTTCGTCCACCCAGTACGTGAACAAGGCAAGCGAACCATCGACATCTTCACCACAGACTGCGAAATCCCCTTTGCAGGCCATCCCACCATTGGCGCAGCCTCCTGGTTCTTGAGCCATTCAACCGACCCCGCCGATGGCGATGGCGTCACCACCCTCGCGACCAAGTCTGGCGATATCCCCATCTCCGTCCAGAATCACGAAACCAAATACGTCGCTGCGCAGATTGCGCACAATACGCGCATCCATGCTGCGCGATTCGGCTTGAAAGAGTTGGTGAGGCTGCACCCGACGCTAGCACCGTTCTTTACGCGGCCGGATGTTACTTTCCCGCTCTTTTCGATTGTCAATGGAATGAGTCAGTTGTTTGTGGAGCTTCCTTCGCTTGAGGCGCTGGCTGCTGTTACGCCTGCGACCGGCGGGGAGCTGGTTTCTGCTGATTATCTTGACGAAGGTTGGAGAGTTGGGTTGATCTGTGTGTACTTCCTTGTTCGGGATGTTGAGGATAGTGTCACCAAGAAGACAGTGATTCGGTCTAGAATGATGCTGGGAACTCTGGAAGACCCGGCTACTGGCAGTTCGGCTAGTGGACTGGCAGCCTACTTGACGCTTACAGAGGGTGAGGCTGGTCAGAATTGTCAGTATCATGTTGTGCAGGGTGTGGAAATGGGACGCCGGAGTGATATTGGTGTTGGGGTCACTTTGGATGGCGACAAGAGGATCGAACAGGTTGTGCTGACAGGCACTGCTGTTAGCGTATCTGAGGGAAAGGTACTGATCCCTGAATAAAACCACAAGTCCTAGAGAGATTCGATGAGTTATACTGTAATACTTCCCTAATAGATATTGAGATGATCGTCTTTTCTAATTTTACCCTCTTATCTCTCCCAATGAGCATGTTCCCATCACTATGACCTTCCCTCTTATATAACAATGCGGGATTTTTCTGCGTATCTAGAGATCAAAGCCATGTTCGATCAAGTCTAACTCAAGATGGATGGTGATAGCGTTGCGGGGATCTTTATGTGCTTGGATTGGCTATCAGAAAAGCTGACATGCCGCGAGCAGTGAGGCCCACACGATGATTTGCCAGGCCAAATCCCTCAACCGTAAATTTTTGCATGGCGTATCTTCTTTCGAAATCATAGTCAACTATATAATGAAATTTGTACCCGAATAATTCAATATGCAAGTTTTGTACTATGTGGACGTCGATCAACTTTCTCTCCCTGCATTGTACGTTCAATATATCGATGTCTATATATCTCTTCTAATCTTTATTAGATGCATGGATTATCACCCTCAGCATTCTGAGCTTGGCTATAATCTACCCTTATGGTAATTTGAAAGCTATCGATGCTTATTTCTTCGGTGCCAGCGCGTCAACTGAGTCAGGTCTGAATACGTGAGTAGCTGATCTTTCTTTATTCTCGTCGATATCAAGCTTACAATAGACTTGGATAGTGTCGACGTCAAAGATCTGAAGACCTACCAACAGTTATATATATATTTAATCCCGATATTAGGGAATTTGGGATTCATCAACATAATTGTGGTTGTTTTTCGTGTTCGATGGTTTGAAAAACATCTCAAAGCAACTGGTGGGCATCTTGCTCCTCAATCTTATCAAGAAGTTGCTTAACATCCCTTGAAACACAGCACCCCATCTTCTGAAGCCTGAGATACTTCCTGGACAAGACGCAGAGGCGCAATACAAGCATGAAGGCACTTTGAGCAGCGCCATCGAAGAAGCCCCAAGCGACCAATTTGGGAACCACACGACAGACGGCCTGAAAGAGAATAAGGATTATGATGAAGGCCAGGAAAAAGCCCCAAGGTTAGTTTTAGCATCATAGATCTCCAAAGAATGGCTCGTTGTAGTGGATACTGACTTGGGCACAAGAGTTTCCCAGGAAGCAAAGGCGAAAGCCGATGAAGTAGCTGACTTGGATAGCAATTCGGGAAAGCCAGTCATTCATTTTGCCGATGAATCCTTTTCCGACCAGGATAAAGCTCTGTATATCCCACCGCCGTGGAAACGTGATCAAGGTGCACGAAAAGCAAATCCATACTTCCTCTTCACTTTCTTACGAACACTTTGCAGGCACTTCTTTTTCTGAAACCGATGGCAGGATCGATGACGATGATGGTAAGTCCTGGTACCGTGCATAAGAGTAAATTCCAATGCTTTACTAATTTGGATCATGAAAGGACAACCAGAGAAGGTTACTCGTCGACAAACTACCAGGAGCATGACTTCACCTCGCACTCTTGAACGTGTTGTAACCTCCCTCTTCGTCCTGGGAAGCTCTCCTAGCGTTCAAAAGAACCAAAAGGAAACGCCGCATGACATGAAGCAGCTCAATTTGCCAAATATCTCTTCACACGCCACACTTGGCCGGAACTCCCAATTTCACAATCTCTCTGCTGAAGATCGAGAAAGACTCGGCGGGATTGAATATCGAAGTTTGAAGCTCCTTTTAAAGATTGTGGTAGGGTATTTCTTTGGTCTACATCTCTTTGGTGCAATCTGTCTGGTTGGATGGATTCTTCATGCAGATCCAAAATACCGTGATTATCTTGCCGAATGTGGGCAAGGTAGTGTTTGGTGGTAAGTAGGCTCTATCACTTGAAATCAACGACATGCTAACTTATTTCGTTTCTTGGTAGGGGATTTTATTCCGCTCAGACGATGATCGACAATCTTGGCTTCACTCTGACACCAGATTCAATGATCTCCTTTCAAGATGCGACTTTCCCAATGCTTCTCATGAGTTTCCTTGCATTTGCCGGGAATACTTGTTATCCATGTCTTCTTCGACTTATCATCTGGACCATGTCCAAAGTTTGCCATTCGAAATCTTCGCTCAAAGACCCACTCAATTTCCTGCTTGACCATCCGCGACGGTGCTATACGCTGCTTTTCCCAAGTCGGCCAACATGGATTCTCTTCGGAATCTTGTTCCTCATGAATTTGATTGATGTCATTCTCATCCTTGTGCTGGACTTGAACAATCCTGCCGTTAATAATCTCGCTCCTGGTCCTCGAGTTCTGGCTGCTATTTTCCAAGCAGCATCGGCGCGTCATACAGGTGCATCGACTTTCAACTTGGCTGACGTGAATCCAGCCGTCCAATTCAGCTTGGTCGTCATGATGTACATTGCAGTCTTCCCAATCGCTATTAGTATAAGAGCCTCCAACGTTTACGAAGAAAGGACGTTGGGTATATATGGCAATAAGACTGAAATCGATGAGAGTGATGGCCGGTCTTATATCATCAACCACATCCAAAACCAACTGAGCTTTGACTTGTGGTACATCTTCCTCGGCTGCTTTTGCATCTGTATCGCCGAGGCCGGTAAGATCGCCGATACGTCAATTCCGGTGAGTGATCAATTTCCAGTCTCGGAAACGCGAATCTGACAAATCCAGGCCTTTTCTGTGTTCTCAGTGTTATTCGAAGTGGTCTCAGCATAGTGAGTCATCCTTGTCCAATACCTCTTCATTGACTAACTCCGACGAAGTGGCAATGTTGGGCTCAGTCTTGGATATCCTACCGTTTCGACTTCTCTTTGTGGAGAGTTCACCGTTTTCAGCAAGCTAGTCGTATGCGTGATGATGATTAGGGGCCGCCATCGTGGACTGCCTTACAAGCTCGATCGTGCTATTGTTCTCCCAGGTGAGCGCCTAGAAGAGGACCACCAAGATCGGGACGAGGCTCAAGCCCAGCGAAGACTGAAGGAAAAGTCCCAGGCAAATTACTAGCAGATTATAGACAAGGATGGGGCTCCGAATGAGCCCCGAGATGATGGAGATCTTTCGTTCGATGAACTTGACGCTATCATAGAGGGAAAGTCAGATTCAAATCCAAGGCCCTTACGAATCTTTGATCTACTATTGTAGCCTGATCCGTCAATTATCAAAAGTCTCCAGCGAGCTGCGACACTTGATCCTTTTATTTCGGATTTCTAAACTCAGTTGTAAATTCAACCTAAGTTCTGCTCATTCAACACAGTTGTAGGCTAGGGCAATTTTGAAAAGGATATTGAACGTTGAAAATGACAAATGTTGGTACTGGCGGTGATTTGATCTGAATCGGCAATCGTTGGACTCTGGATGACAAGAAGATCGCACAGGCTGTGCTGATTTGCCAGGCACTGCTGATGGTGCGAGGGCAATGCGCTGGTTCCTGAATCAAAAGACAACTCTAGGGCTTTAATGAGTCATAGAAGATACTTCCTTGTCTCACAATATGTACTCAATCTAGATTTTGGGTGCTGCGCCACAGACTCGGTATAACAGCCTGAATCATTTCTCTTCCGGGTTCCCGCGAGGCTGAAGGCCTGTGACGTGTTCTGGCGAGCCACATTAGGCTGCACACTATATTCGCAAGAGTTTATAACTCTACCTAGGTGGCCAAGTTTGAAAAGAAAAAAAAACAAATTCGTGTATACTGTAACTTTGCACATAAATGGCGAAATCTTCAGGGCCTGACCTGGAACCCAAATTCCGTCGGTATACACGACGTCGAGAATCACATACACCAAAGGGCGTCTGCCGAGCAAGATCAAAGGCAAAACATGCACAGGAGACACCACTCATACAATCTGGAGAGCACGAACAGTCACCCCTTTTCAAAAGGTATGTACTTTTATCCCCTATCAGAACGTCTACACCTCTAACACTGAAGTCCTAGATTCTTCTCCCTTCCACAAGAAATAAGAAATAACATTTACCGAGAATTGTTTGTCCAACCATGTAAATTCGATCTACACCATTCAACTCCATGCAAAATGCCTCTGAACTGTATGAGACCAGGTCCAGCTCTACATCCGTCGAACAGAGAAGACCCCCAATGTGCAAACTGCCATAACTATGTCTGGAAGGAGCCACAAGTCCCAATATTTCAGTCTCCGGCACGAAGCCAGTGGGCACAACCACATAAGAATGTCTATCTATGTGACAATTGTTACTGGGACCTGAACGGAATCGTGGAGGGGATTCCGTGCATGAGGTCTCTACCATGTCTATGTGGAAGGCGTGACAACCTCGCCATTCTGCTCGCCAGCAAGAGATTTTGGAACGATGCCGCACCTATATTCCGGACAGAGAACTGGTTCGCCTTCGAGCATCCCAGTCTCCTAACGGGGTTCTTGACTGCTATTCGTCCACAAGTGAGATCGTGGCTGAGACGGATATCGTTTATGCCTATTCATGCTTACCAGAATGTGGAACACCGTAGCACATTTCCGCGGTGGCGAGACCCGATATGGGATGGATGGGATGATATTAAGAGCTGCTGGAATTTACTGAGGCTGTGCGAGGGGCTGACAGAGCTGGAGCTTGATGTGCTGTGTCTGACGCGCAAGGAATGGGCTAATGCTATTCGGCTAATTCGTGTCAGAAAGAGAGTTGTATTTTTTTGTTATTCGGAGCTAGAAGATGCTGAATATGGGCCTGGAGATCCATGGCTCTTTATATGGAGGACGCAGGCTCGGAGGAAACGATTTGACTCTCCCACGACTGCTTTGCTTATTTCTAGCATGACTGGCGACAGAGCTTTCAAAAGAAAAACTCTACTAACTCATTATTCTGAGAGCACACTACATCAAATATGTGGTAATTATGGCGTTGAGTTTACCGAGAAGATGATTGAGGGCCGAATATGGAATTCATGATAACCAGGGCTAAGCACAGCTATTCTTCTTTATTTATCAACCTCAAAGCTTCTTCTCCTCAGCTAATTGCCTCAATACCTTGATTGTCCCCTCAACCGCCATCTGGCTCATCTTCTTCTCCTTCTTGAACAAGGCTGCCAGCTCCGCCTCTGAGACACCGGGGTGTCTCCATTCAAAAATATACGTCATATAGAGCTCCCCACTAGCCCCTTGACTGACCACATTGCTGATCTTGCTGCCATCGGGCTGTTCAAACTCTACCCGGGTAGGCTTCAAAGCTGTAACGGTCTCTTGAACCGTTTTCTGGGTTTCGCGGAAAAGGACTTCGCGAACGGTGACGGGATTTCCGGTCGATGGGTCGATGGATTCACTGACAACCTTGGTAGATTGGATCGCTCCAGGAACAAATGTCTCGGCGGAGCGGATCTTGAGGAGGAGACCGTTCCAGATTTGTTCGAGGGTGATGACGGTTGTTGCGCCTGGTGGCTTGATTGGGGCGGTGAAGGCGATATTGTTGGTTGATGCCATTTTGGGGGGTATGAGGGAAGAGGGGCCCAGTGATTAAGTCAACGCTTTGAGGAATTTCAGGGGTTTTGTTCGAACTTGAGGCTCTCTTATATTCAATCTAGGGTTACTGCAATGACGAAACCGATACGCCGATAAGCTCGGTGTTACGGCGGGCCGAGCCCCGGATTTCAAATAGTTTCTGCCTTGGAAATCAGGTCCTGTATTTAGTTATTTGGTACGGAGTAGACCAGAAATGATCACTGTCCCTCATTAGAATATTCATGTAATGTTTGACTCTAGGAGCAAAGTCCCTGATATATAAATGAATTGAGTATAAAAATGATCTTTTGTTGAACCGAAATCCGCCCTGCCAATTGGTTATGCCGAGGCCAAACTTGCAGCTCCACTCGAAGCCCAACCGAACACAATGGGCTATGATGGGGGTTAACTGGGAACTTGTAATCAGTATATTCTGGCCCTTGTACTTATTACAAAGACTTTTGATCTGGATTTTATATTTACAATTAGAATATAAAAATATATTCTTAATATTCGAACAAGATTGAACCGTTAGAAGTTGAAAAAATATTATTGTATACCTGAAAACAAGATATATCATTCAAATCTACAAGGGAGTATCACTACGTTACTAGTGAACGTCTAGAATTGGTAACCTTTTTACGATAAAGATATTGATCATATTTCCTATCTAGAAGTAGACTGGGGAGAAGGAGGAAGCAAGAAGGAATAGGACTCTGGCAGCCTATTTAGACTGCCAAAGCATGGTCCTATGTCCTACTGTTTGCTAGGGTTGATCTATATCAGGCATGGATGTCTATGGTGTCCAACACCTTCTTAAACAGCGCGATTTCTCGCGTTTGCAAACGTAATTAATATACTTAACTGTTAAATTAGAATATTGGAATGAAAAGATTAAAATATTACCCTAAGACAAAGGTAGGAGACGGGGTCTATACACAGAGTATTCAAATGAGTCACGTTTTCTCGACTATTTGCATTGTTTGGTGCTTTTTGGGCTTTCACCCCGGGCCCATAGCCCAGCCCATTTGCAGATTGGGTTGGGTTGGGCTATGGGTCTTCTGGGGTTTGGAGAAGTCTACTCGAGGTCTACTCGAGGTCTCTCATGTCGTTTGATCCTAGCTTACGGGCGGTTAAGTATGCCACTATTAAAAGGAAAAGCAAAAATTTTATTCGTACTTGCTGCCTATTTTAATGTGAATAACCTTGGAACGATTATTCGAAGCCGATTATTGGACACCATGCATTCTTGGAGATATAGCTCAACCTATAAGATAGATATACACAGGGACTTTTGGCGCAACACGGACTGTTCAGGACTCCAGTGAGGTTCGAAAACAAGGGGTATGCAAGTCTAAGCATCATCATAATGTTGCCTAAAGCCAACCACAGAAATAGCAAAAGAAACCCCGACTCCGATCGGACTCGGCTGACACAGCCCGATAAGTATCGGATTTATCGGACTTACTCGTTTCGATATAACTTCATAGTACACACTATGCGATTTATAGATATAAATAGGAGCCAACTACAATGATGGGAGCCAACAAACCTAGAAACAACTTTATCAAAAGCTACATTTTACCAAGACTGTCATCCTCAATCTTAATATCCAAACATGATGACCGAATTTGAGACCAACGACTCCAAGGCCCCGTCCTACACCTCTGTCGACCCTGTCGAGGTGGACAATGCCGAGAAACAGGACCAAAAACTGTGAGTGTTCGAGGGCTCACTCGCACAGCTCTATTTATTGTTGGAATGCAGTCACTAAATAAACCCCCATTAGCACCAGCCCTAAGGCGAATTGCTCAACCCACGGGCCCAGCCAAGTCCCCCTTCTCGATCGTGAATTGCAGAACCAGCAGGCAAAGGATATCATCCGCACATTGACAACTGCATTGAATGATCTTACCGATGAAAAGAAGTGCACCAAGTGCACGGTGGAGAATATTTCGACTCTACTCACAGGCCACGTCCGAGATCTCAGAGCCGCGAAGCGCAGTGGGATGTGGTCTAAAGAGGACAAGAAGGCTCTCAAGGCGGAGATCAAATGTCTCCTCAAGCCACTGAAGAAGGATGTGAAGAGCCTATGGAAGGCGAATTAATGACCTCGTTCATAGCTTTGAAATCAAGCTAGCGAGTGCGCAGATGTATACTAGGTAGTGTTCTACAATGCGATTCATTTTCAGCGATCTTGCCTACAATGTCTGACCAAAAGAGAAATTATTGGACTTTATAGACCTGATGGTACCAGGAAACGTCTCTGGTTATGTGAATTCCATCTATCGACGTGGATTATACGGCCTCAAGGGTTTGATACACACCAAATTTAAAGGCCGTGTGCTATGGTTTTCTATCTCTGTGCTCTGCCTCCTAAATAAAACTGCAGGGGAGCCTTGTTAAACTGTGCGGGCGTACTTCTTTATAATAACACATAATCCCGATAGCTCGGCCCTATGACTTTTCAGCTTATTCTGTAGACAGCACATAGCTACCTGGTAGATCGTTAATAAATATGATCAGCAGTACATTCGACGCGAATAGTAAATTGGGAATCATTTGGAATGAACCCGGTTTCAAGTGGAGCCTCTGGGGTCTTCCCCGCGTTTCGCGAGTGTTAAGCCGGGGTATGGGGTTAGTTCTCCATATACTGTCTTATGGTCAATCTTTCGAAGATACTAAGCTGTTGATTGGTAGCATAGTCCTATCGAAATGACCGATCTAAGACTCTAAAACGCCAAGAAATCAAGGGCTCTCAATCTCCGCCTAATAAATTTAGACTCCGGTTGTAAAAGTAAATCACCGGACTCCAATTCAGGTAATTATTGAGATAGACAGGTCGTAGAGCTCAACACGTATATTGTCAACATGATAAATGTCCTCCCCTGTACGTACAATAGCTTGACAATCTTCCACTATTGTCTGCTCTTCAATTCTCAATCACAATGTCGTTCCCACAGCCTAATCTGGCGGCGAATTCAAAGGAGCATATCGACGAAGTGAAAGAGAATATATCTCTTACTCCCACGGGAGAGGACAATGGAAGTGCTAATCATCTTGATACTGTTGCCCAGATATTGATGGACCCGGAGGAGATTGAATACACGGCCGAGGGTGAGTCATCGTCTCTTTATAGTATCTATTGCCCTAACAGATTAGAACATCGAAAGCTTCTGCGAAAGATTGACTGGCGCATCGTCCCACTCGCTGCTTGGGCCTGCGGTCTACAGTTTGTGGACAAGGTATTTGCTAGCCTTTCCCACTACCTTATGGATTTTAATCAGGATAATATAGTCTGGTCTTGGTGCTGCCGCCACATACGGTCTTCGTGATGACCTCCAACTCGTTGGCCAGGAGTACTCTTGGTGTGTCTCTGTAAGGTTCCCCAACTTGCTCCCTCTTAGATGCAGGACCCTTAACAAGGGCGAGAATAGATATTTTATTTTGGGTACCTCACAGGATCATTCTTCTCTGGCCGAGGCTTGCAATATTTTCATGCTGGAAAATTTATGGGGGTGGCCCTATTTATTTGGGGCGGTTCCTTGCTAGGTTGTATTGGCGCGACAAACTTTGCTACACTAATGGCATTGAGGTTTATTCTTGGGTATAGCTTATTACTCGATTGAAATGACTTATGTGGCTGACCAGTTCCAGGCTTTTTGAATCATGCCTTGTTCCTGGACTATTACTTGTGTATGTCGTCAATACTCTAGATTGCTTTGAGACATGAGCTAATGCCTTGTTATTCAGCACAACCATGTGGTGGGTAGGCAACCTCAGAATCTTTTATTCATGCTAATGGAATACAAGGTACACACAAGAGGAACAACCTCTCCGATTCGGCTTATGGACAATGACGAACGGTGCTCTTCCGGTGCCCTTCTTGGTTATCTACTACGGTCTGTATGCCCCCCAGATCCTTCCTCGCAGTGTACCTGACTTTGAACTAAAGGGCTCGGACACGTTACAACTGGGCCTATAGTAAGTTTATTCATGTCTCTAATTTTCGCTGTAGCTAACCTCTGTAGACATCTTGGCGACTCATTTTCCTCACCATTGGGCTACTGAGTAGTTTGACAGGGGTGCTTATGGTATGTGCATCTTACTATCTTTCAAAAACCGATTGAAGTCTAATTTATCTAGTTTCTTTTTATGCCCGATGCACCCCAGTCTGCACAATGGCTCAATGAGCGAGAAAGGGCTATAGCTGTCAAGCGTGTGGCTCAGGCCCAACTTGGGCTTAAAAACAGTAAGCCACTTAGAGGTTTGCCTGGGATCAGGTACTAATCCATCTTTTATAGCCCACTTTAAATGGGAGCAGGTGCAGGAAACACTGAAAGATCCACATGCGTGGCTATTGATCTTACAGATGTTTTTCTCCCAAACTGCGGGGAGCGTGACAACGAATTTTCTCGGCATTGTGATCAAGGTTATATCAAGACAAACATTCTGCTCGCTTCTCTACTGACTGATCTATTAGGGATTTGGGTACACTGCATTGAAAGCACAACTATATACTGCTCCCAATTACGCTGTTCAGGTACAGATCCTTTTCCTTGATTATCTAGAAGTCGAAGACTAAAAATACACCCAAGGCCGTGGTGCAACTCCTAGTTTCTGGTCCCCCGACATTCTTCGCCTTCTTCCGCAACAAGAAGCAGCCACTCGCAGCTCTAGCCAGTATTGTTGGAGTGATAGGTATCATCATTCTATACGTCACTCCCCCCGAAGACCGATATCAAAACCGTCGGCTCGCAGGTTGCATTATAATCTCAGCTTCCGGTGTCAACTATACAGTGATCATGTCTATAATTGGGGCCAACTTTGTAGGATTCACGCGAAAACAGACAGTTACATCGGCCGCCTTTTTCCTCTACTGCGTCGCTAATATTGTCACACCTCAAACCTTCCTGGGAGCGGAAAGCCCTCGATATCATACTGGGCTGGCGTTCGTGCTAGCGTAAGCTCTACTACCTTGAAGATATTGATATCGGATGCTAACATGAAACAAAGATGTCTTTCGGTATATATTGCTCTCTCCACGACTACATGGGTAATCATGCGATTGGAGAATAATCGCCGAGAATCGCGCGCCCGGGAAAACCCTGAGTATATCAGTAACGGAGAGGGACTAAGTGTACTGTCCGGACTTGGAGACCAGACGGATCTTCAAAATAAGCGCTTCAGGTATTCTGGCTGAGTTTAGCATTTTCTTATAAATGTGCAAATCTGATTGGAATTGATACTGAGAAGTCACCTAAAGTGCTGTCATGACTAGAATGGGTTCAAATGGCAAGCTACACTTGTTATCAGCTATAAGTCTACCAGTAGTAAGCTCCTGAATCTGGTGACTTTTTTGCTGAAGACATATATGTCTACTCCGTACCCCACCACAACAAAACATGAAGGGGGTTGTTAATAGCCCAAACACTTAAGTGTACTCAAATCAAGCTCCACCAGTCTGCCAATCCTCTACTGAAAGAAAGCCACCCCGACCCCAAGACATAGTATCTAAAGTAGCTTTACTATCAAATTCAAGCACCTCCTTAGTCTGCTTTTTTATTCCCACTCTTTTCTTGTCATCATGGCTCGTGTCATCCATTCTCCCAGAGTCAATTTGCGAGATCTGAAACAGCAGATCCTCAATTTTCTTAAAACATGATTCCGAGTTCGTTCTCTTGGCAATATCTGCCCAGTCAAGATGCTGGAACAGATTGCACACCGGCCCCGACTTCTGTTCATAAGTCACCACGTCCGTCTTCGTCGGATCTTGTCACATGTCTCGAAGGCAGCATGCAGTGTTTCCCCTTCTGACACCTGGCGTTCTCGACCAAACTGACTAGTTCGTTCGGGAATCATGCACACTCCAAGGGGCCTCCAGTCCCGTGGCGTGGAACAGATGTGGGCGCTGCACCCCAGACGAGACAAACACGATCTTCAGGTGAATCACGCTGTCTCTATACGATGTTACAACTGGCATCACTGCGGGTGATGAGTTCTCATCCACGGGTGTCAGCACAAGTATTCGGGAACAATCCGCCGCCAGAAAATATTCAAACCTGCCAATCTGGGGAAATCTTGACCCTGGAGGAGATATACAACAAAATTTTAGCATTTCTAACAGGACAAGGAGTAGCTGGACTGGATGCAGGAGAAACCTTCTGCGCGTGTAATTGACGTTAGGGCTGAAGTGATAACCCCGAGATGGACTAATGCGGCTAATCTCCGGGAACTACCTAATGGGGTCAACAACTCGGGAGGCTCAACGATATGAAGTACAACTCCGAGGAAGGGCCAAGTAAGGGCAATATCCCGATGTCTGGAGTTCATATGAATAAATGGCATCTCATGATAAAATGGAGCATTCGTGTTCCTACAGTCATCAAATCATCAACTTGACGGCAAACAGTCGACATGACATTAAAGACCATTGTGAAGTCACCTCTTCCCGAGGAAGCTATTCCCAAAGAGAAGCCCGCCATTAGGGTATCCTCACCCCCAAACGGTGGCGCCTTAGCATGGCTCAATGTTCTGGGAAGCTTCATGCTTTACTTCAATACATGGGGCATCCTGAACACCTTTGGTGCCTATCAAACCTATTATGAGTCCGGTGCTCTCTTTCAATCCACCTCGTCCGACATATCCTGGATAGGTTCCATTGCCGCATTCATGCTATTGTTTGCCGGTATTTTTGTTGGTCCCATCTACGACAGAGGTTATCTTCGCGCACTCCTCATGGTGGGCTCGTTTATGGTCGTTTTCGGACACATGATGCTAAGTCTGTGCTCCGAATTCTGGCAAGTTGTGCTGGCACAGGGATTTGCCGTCGGAATAGGAACTGGCTGTCTATTCGTTCCATGTGTTGCAATTATTCCTCAATACTTCACTACCAAGATGGGCGCTGCAATGGGTGCGGCTGCTTCGGGATCAGCGCTCGGTGGTGTCATCTATCCGATTGTTCTGTACCGACTTATCAATCAAGTTGGCTTTCCCTGGGCAGTACGTGTGATTGGATTTATTGCACTCGCCTCACTGCTCATTCCAATCAGCATCATGCGTCTGCGCGTTCAACCACCTAAGGTTCGTGCAATGGTGGATCCCAGCGCATTCAAGGACCCGGCTTATCTGGCTTTCGTGTTCACCTCGCTCATTGCGTACATGGGCCTGTTCGTTATTATGTTTTACCTCTCCTTCTTTGCCGAGGCCACTCGCCTCACAGATAGCAGTCTCGCCTTTTACATGGTGCCCATCTTCAATGCAGCATCTGTTTTTGGTCGGACAATCCCGAACAAGCTCGCCGACCGCTTTGGCCCATTTAATCTTCTCGTTCCCGCCGCCCTATCCTCGGGGCTGTTGATGTTCTGCATGATGGCAGTGCAATCAAAAGCCGCAATTATTGTAATGGCACTGCTTTCCGGCTTCATGAGTGGTGCGCTGATCGGACTGCCTCCTATGTGCTTGGCCATTCTGACGGCGGATAAGTCGAAGCTGGGGACACGTGTTGGTATGGGCTACGCAATCATCGCACTAGGTGTGCTGGCCAGTGGTCCCAGCAGTGGTGCGATTCTCAGAAACGGTGGCGCATCGCTTGATTGGCACAGTTTGTGGGTGTTCGGTGGCGTTCCGACCTGCGTCTCGGGACTAGGCTACGCGGCGATTAGGATCTTTATGTATGGGCCAAAGCTGAATATCAAGGCGTGATGACAGATTTGACCAGACCTTGACCTTGGATGAGACCTGAGTTCGCTGGAAATCGAGATACTTTGATCATGGCTGCCAACATTATCATCCACGGATCACGGAACATTCTCTATCATCTTCCAGGATGGCACCCCCGGCCTGGAGCTCGAAGGAAGCCCCGATAATTGGGTCCCTGTGCCAGGGGATGCCACTGTTGTCCTGACTGGTTGTTGTGCGTTGTGCGGTTATCCTGAGTGGTGGCCGAATTTCCGCTGCCAAAAATCGTGTTTGCCGTACCCCGGCCGTGCGTCGGTTGAGTGCTGTCTTGTTCGTCGCCCCTGACCTTGACGTGAGATTGAAGCCCATGGGAAATCTCCAGCCAGCCAGAACTTTCTCCAACACCATACTGTGTGGAGACATGGATGTCAGGACCTTCAAGGACGTTATGGGGAAGAGATGACGATACAAAGAGGGAAACGAAGAGATGGATAATGGAAATTCTATGTCCCAGGATAACGAGATCGAGACCATAATATGGGGCTAATTTTGGAGATGACAAACAGCAATTTGTTATAGCAAGCTTTGGAGTAATCGGCTCTGTTTGTAAGGGGAAATAAAATTATCATCATCCATTCCAGGTTGCCTTGCTGCTAATCACATATGTTGCCCTCTTCCTTTCCTCCCCCTTCTAGCTAGCAGCAGTCAAAAATGGCAGATCTTTTTATCTGCTCTTTGAGTCGTATTACATCCTGACACATCTTATTGAATTTCTTCTGTGGAGTATACGTACCGTAGATATACCACACCTTTACTGGTTTCTTTCTGCCCTCGACCTACGTATAAAATGGCAAAGGACCATTCTTAAAACAGACATTTACGAAGAATATATGCGAAAAAAGATAGAATATCTTCAATTGCGTGTCATTGATTATCATTAAGGAAAGTGGTTGATATGTATAGTATTCAGCTCATCCTCCGATGCATGTTTTTCATCTCTATTCAAGGGAGAGCAGCAGGGGCGTAGCTCTGGTCAGGCTTGACGACCGTACCGGCAGCAAGCTGCTTATCGGTGTAGGCAGGCCAGATGATCTGGCGAGACTTGTCGTTGACAACGGAGAGAGTAGTGAAGCCATTCTCTGCGCCGAATTGGTCGCTCCAGCCGGAGGTGACGGTGTATCCGCCGCAGGTGACAGGGCCACCACTGGCGTGGGAGGCAGGGGCGCCCTTCACAACATAGGTGCAGGGAGTAGCATCACCAGAGCCGGGGTAGATGCCGAAAGTCCAGGTGCAGGATGTGTCTTTGGCGTTGCAGACACGCTTGGTGTTCTGGAGGGTCCATTGGGGGCCAGCAGCCATCATGGACTTGCTATTGGTGTCCGCGGGAGCAGCAAAAGCAGAGGAGGCCAAGAGGCCGGTGGCGAGGAGGAGCTGAGTGAGCTGCATGGTGGTTGATGGAGTGAGGAGTTGACTGGATTATTTAGTTTTGAAGGATGTTGATGAGAATGAAGACCGTATGGGGGGGGGCATGAAGCTATTTAAGTCTTTTCCACATCATAACAATTGAGCTACGTTCAGTCATTTCATCAAGCTCAAAATAGAAGGGATGTAACGTCGAGTCAGGTAACCACAGGAATACAGATAATGCAATGTACTCCACACCTGTGTCTCAAAGTTACAAAGTGAGACAGCCTCTACCAGCCATGATTTGTGCATTCTTCTCCATTATTTCTACTTTATTCCTCCACATGGCTACTGAGATGTCTTTGATTTAACTGGATTTTAAGACATCTTCAAAACCCAACCAATCAGGCCTTAGTTTGCCTACAGACTCACCCCGCAAATTGTGGTCAGACTGTCGATCACCCTATGCCATTTTCTTGGTATACGAAGTGAAGATGTATGTATGTTGCATGGTCTGACTTGGAGAGAATCAATTTGGACCCTGTGATTGCGCCACGATCTTCACGCCACACTCAGGAACCTTGGGATGAAACGGAAGAATGAGGAAATTGGCGAGGCAAAATGATATTGGATACCGGGGCATTGATGAAGCCCACATACCGGGACCACATTCCATATCCGGGACAATTTCTTTTTCACAAGCCCAGCTTCTGGTCGAGGTCTCTCAATGTGCGGGTGACCTTTCTCTAAAAGCCAAGGAGTTTAAGATGCAGACCTTCCAAGTTTGAACATGAACGGATTGGGAGTACGGAGTAATCCGGGGCAGTATCCACCTCTTCCCGCTTTTCCGTATGTTGTAGCTCTTCACTTGCTCTGCCACAGACCTGATCTATTGTGACTACTTAAATGCACATTGAAATGGACGTACTGTGAGGACTTTTTTTTTTTTTTTTTCTTGTTCGCAGACCTCTAAGATGTAATTTCTCTTGAAAAAAAAATATGGATGTGGAACCCCATGAGAGACCTCATAGCGATGAAGCCCTTTCTTCTTGGCCAGTGGCAAATTGATTCGCCATGATGACCCATGGATTCACCAAGCTATAGGTGCTAAAGAGTAGTAGACCCCGGGCATCTATCTCGCAGAGCCCTGCATGGGGCTCTCTCAGTCGAGGAAAGACATTCGCGTTGATCCGGATGATCTTGGTGGGTGACATCGGGAAAGGCGGGACTGGATGATCTGCTGAGCATCCTACCGGAAAGGTCGCCTTTGAGGCGCACAATAAGCTTGTTACCGTGGACAGGGATTGTCATGAATCTTGCATTGTATGTTGTAGTCGACATCCGTCTTATGGTGAATGGAGCCGGGGACTGAGACTCTTCCGGCTCAAATGAGTACGGAATGTAGTCGTCTAAAGGAAACGTCCATATTATTGCGAAGGGTTATATTATTGAGTATATGGAGAAATTGCCGGAATCGTGTCTGCAATAAATTGGGCTAAATGCCCCACTTCCTTCATGGGAAATTAAGATACATATAGACATGACCTCATACTAGACTCCGCTACGTGAAAGACTGATTTGCCAACAAAAAATCGCGCAAAGACTACGAGCTCAGCCGAGCCTTGTTAGTGATGATAGATCAGACTTCCTGCACAATGTACAACACAGTGACAACAAATGTACCCACAAAATACCCACAGTCTACGGGAGAATCCAGTTTAGGACTGAAACCTCTCTTTCTCGGTAAATAATCCCCAAAGCAGGGGCAAAATGTATGATTTTGGATGGGCTGTTACTTCTTCTCTACTCGGCAGCATACAGGACATCCGTCCGTAGGGTATATTTCACACCTCTAAACACATCATCTCCACAATGGAACAAGTTCCTCTGCTGGAAGATGAGAACAGATCCTGTCTTTGGAAAGATCCGAACCGATTCCTTGGAGTTGAGCCCAGCCATGAAGGATGTTGCACCACCTAGCAGAGTCTCACCACTCTGCTGTGACTCTGCAGCCGAACCTGAACTCCCATCACCAGTTTGCTCCTCCTCTAACCCGACCGCAGCAAGATCGATCTCTCCATTATTTGCAAACAAATACTTCGTCTTCTCCATCCGCTCAATGTGAGGCTTTAGCTCCGTCATATCCTGCTCCCCATCTCCATTCAAATAAATCTGAATAGTATAAAGTGACTTCTCCAGCCCATCGGGCGTAGTAAAACACCCATCCCAATGAGGCCGGAAGTAATCTCCACCCTCATACCGCAGGAACCGAAGACGCTCATTCAACCGGCTGAGACGGAGCACTTCGCCCCGTTTTGCTGGCCCAAGACCCGTGACCAGTGGTCTGCTCTGAACGCGGTCGAGTTCGCATTCACGCATAAAAGGCATAAGTCGATCCAGGATTCTGCCTGCCAGATCGTGGGAATCTAATATAATCCGTCCGCTCTTGCGCGAGTCGACAGACATCACTTGTCTACCGCCGCCGGCATTGATCATTGCGTGTTCCCATGCGGGGTCCGAGAGGGTGGCATCTGGCAGTGGAGTTCTTGTTGATTGTTCTGCTAAACGGAGAAGCTCTTTGCATTCTGATTCAGTCAAGAGATTGTCCACTATGGCAGCAAAGTGACCTTTGTATGAAGGTATTGGCGGGGTTGTGTGCTCGAAATCGAGTTTGTGGAGGGTTGCGTTTGTGGCTGGGGATCTCAGGAAGCCTTCTGGGATCTGTTGGTCTATCATTGTCTCAAAAACATGGGAATTTGCAAAAACTGTTTTCCCCCGGGGGCTGAGCCTTTTATACCCCACTTTTTGAGGCTCGGTCCAGGGCTGCTGCCTGTAGCCTCCGCCAAGGATTTTGGTCAAAGCAATGATAGCGAGGACTCTGTGCTAGATGTTCACACATTTTGTATTCCAGCCACCTACGTTTAATCAACCTGGAATGGTTCTCTCCTCAAAATACAAAAATCACTGACAAGATATATAATTTCTGACAACAGATCGCTTTAGAATCAATGAAAACACATTTGCATATCCTTCAAAGTCTCCTCAACATATTCCTCAGACATGTTGGCCCTGTCAATCCTGCTGGCGTTTCAAACCGCGAGTGAACTTCTTGTTCTCTCCGAGAATCATGCGAATCTCTTGCTTAAATTTTTTCCCGGTCAAATCCATCGCAGCATCAACGCGAGCATTGTGCATGTCGATCATCTAAACCTGATTAGTATCCTCGAAGTCCAAGGTTTTTTTACAGGTTGATCATACCTTGACGCAGTGACCAAATGCCAATCTGCAGTCGCCGCATGAGTTTTTGGTACACGCGGAACAGTCGTGCTTGAGAACTGGGTCAATGGGGGGATTGGGCTGGCTGGACTTGCACGAGCTCGAAGGTTCCATTTCAGGTTTCCTGACCTTCTCCGCCGCGAGCCGCGCCGCGATACGGGCCGAACGTCTGAGGATTTTAGTTGCCTCGTCGGGTGTTCCTACGAATTGAGATGCCTCGCCTGTTGTGTCTATGATGAATTCAATGTTTGAAAATAGTTTTGCTGATTGATAAAGGCGGATTTGGGCTGGTGAGTGCTCTGAAGACCATTTTTAGCATCAAAGTCAGAGGCTTTTATAGAACGAGCAAGGCCGAGAGATTGTGCTTGAGTTCTCATTATACAAAGAAGCTTGCAGAATTAAAACAATTGAGGGCTTGTTTTATCCAGTATCTATACATTTGCCGACTAACAAAGCAACTTTGATTTTATCTGATAGGTCATCGTGGAATTCCTTGCCCCTAGAACATCCTGTAACGATACTGGTCTTCAATCTCCAAAGTCAAAAGTTCATCAACAAAGCTTGTTTCAAGTTGGACTCACTCGGAGTAAGATCGTGAGACAGTTTACCAAGGGTTTAAGAGGCGTAGTCTGATCAAGTTTTGTTTCAAGACAGGCACTAGGAGTGAAAGCCCTCTTCATTCACTACCTTTTTCTAACACACAAAGGAAATGAGATTAAACAATACTTTCAAGGTGAGGTCTACAAGCATACAAAAATGATTATATAATCAATACACCAGCCATCTGTGGCACATGTGACTGTGGCTGGAGGTTACCTGATTGGTTCGCGGCCCATCTCATCTCTCTCATCCTCTCATCCTCGAATTATTGGAGCAGCTTAATGCAACAAAATATCATTATCTGTGATCAACCATCAAAAACCATCTCTCTGCCTCGGCCCCGGACATTTTCATCCCGATATTCCACTATATAAGAGACAACGCAGGGTCATCTCATTGCCCACAAAACAATCACTGCGATAATATTTTGTCTTTCCCCTTGCTTGCTAGTCCATTTCGAGACTCAAGTGCCTTTTTGAATATATATCTACATTTAATCCATTTCATAAACCCTAAATTCGCGCATTTTTGGGTTACAAATTTGACCATTTGATCAAGCCCCTCACAAAAAGCCATATCAACCGCCTCGATGATGGCTACTACCAATCAGAACTCGAAACAAGTGCCAGCCGCTGGCAACAGCGAAACTTCAGGGCTGGACTCAGAGATTCAACTTGTTTCATCACTAGCAAAACTACAAGAACTCGAACGCAAGGTAAGTACATGAGTTATCACAGATCTCCCACAAAACCGAGTTAATGAGATATCCAGATCCATGAACTGCGTGGCTTCATGCCCCAGGGCTTACTAGAGCCTCTGGTGCCTATTGCAAATCCAGAAAAAGTGTCATTCGGCAATCCAGTCGCTGAAACCCCAAGAATCCTCCGGGCTAGTCTGGATGAGGCCGCACGCGCACGTGTTGCTGATGTCCAGCAATTTCAGTCCTTGTGGCGGGGTCCGGAAATGACGCCCATCTGGACACACGTTGAATCACGCATCAAGGAAGCTAATGGTCAGCTGATCCAGCCGACTGGGAGGTGGGAAAGGGATTATGACGTTCTCCTAGAAGAGCTAGCACGGAAAGAAAAGTCTATAGAAGATGAGCGCCGACAGGAGCACGAAGAGGCTGAACGTATCAAAGCGCAGTCTACCGAGGGCGAGTGGAAAAATGTTTTGGAGCGCTTCGTTCAGCGGGCTATGCCCGGTGTACGAGTCATCAAAGGCCAGGATGAGACTTCTCTAGCGGTTGCACTTGTTAGAGCAGGTGTTGTCTTCCAGATCCGAGGGATTTCCGCCCCTGGCTCCCCGATATCTGACTGGGAGGTATCGAGCAAAATTGCTGGCCGGTCACCGACAAAACTTGAGAATGCTATACTGGGATGTGTGGGCTCACGTCCGCGGAAATGGGACCTTGCTTTCTTGCTGGTAGGTTCTGCTCCTGGCTCTGAAGGATGCTCTTGCTAATACCGGCGCAGGATATGATCTCTTCCTACGCAGATATCAAGCAGACTACCTGCGTGAAGTGCAACCGCCTGACTGATAACGGCGCCCAATTGCCAACTCTTCGTCGCCTTTCGGCAAATCAATCCTCGGTCGACGGAGCAGCACATGTATACACCTTTGATGCATTGCATTATGGATGTGTATGATTGGACACGTCAGCCAGGTAACTCATTAATATTGGACCTTGGGGGGAGGGGGGCTTTGGATGAGGACCAGCCCATTGGGCTATTATTTCCCGTCTTGGTTTTGATTAGAAAATAAATAGACATGTTCAAGCGATCTATCTGGATTCGACAAACACAATATCATGCAAACTACCCTCCGAACATCCCTCATCCTTCTATATCCTATTCTTCCAAGGTTTCGACTATCTCCTCCCATCCCATCCATTTCCTCGATCTCCATGATTTGGATGACTCCCATAGAGACTATCATGCCAAAATTCCGCTGGATACTCAACCCCATTCCGATCCCAATATCGCATCGGCACACAATGCACTTCCTCCTTCGCAACCCATTTCCCCCTCTGAACCCTGCCCCCATTGCAATATTCAACATCACTCCACGTCCCACGGTCTGGAATGTGGTACTTCCTCGTGCGGAAATCATAGCGCTCGCCAGCAGGGCGCCCCGCCCAGGGGAACGGGCTGTAGTCCGAGTCAGGGTCGTTGGACCTATCCCCCCATCGAGACCATTCCTGTCTTGTGGGACTGGACCGGGTTTGAGAGTGTGACTTTCTAGTGTTGGCTTTGGACTGGCCGATTTGACCGACGTAGATGTCTGGCCCTTTGTTTTTTAGGACGTCAAACAGGCGCCAGCGGCGTGGCCAGTGGTGTGGGTTGCCGGGACGGGGATCTTTGGGCCAGATCCAACCCAGTTGGGAAGGCATTGTCTGATTTTTGACACTGGGTATTCGTTTCAATGGTAGCTTGGGGATAGATGCTGAATATAGGAAACTTTCTAGGACAGAGGTAGGCTGGAATTTGGTTCGTAGATTGGAGAAGAGGAATGAGATCGAACAGATCTTTTATATTCTACAGTTCAAAGTCATTACTTCATAAAGCGCTTCAATAAGTTCCCGGAACTTTCTTTATTTGTGAGACTAAGTCTGATTTCCAATTGTAAGATGTAAGACACTAAGCTTCTTTTGTGCTCGTCTGTCTTTCTGTGATGATCATAACAATCGCATAGGAAGAAGAGCTAAATGCATCAGAATCCATGACAAAAGGTACTATCACGGCTCCGTGCATGAGGTTTTCTATAGGGCAAAGAAAAGGTTTGGAGGATCAAAAAAAGTGCATAAAGTGGTAGTCTTTGAGGCTACGCAGGTAGACATACGGACCTAGCCACGGAGAACTTCCGGACACCCTCTAGGCTTAGACATCTAGGACTGAAGAGAATACAGATTCCAGGTAACACGGCGGTAAAGCAAGACAATGAGACAATGAACCTCAGGAGATATTGAGACACCCATAAACATTATGTTCTAAACATGTTTCAATCCGAACTTTGGTTTTGATTTCAGTGTTTGCACTTCACACTATTGAGACAAACGAGCTTTCTATGAAAGAGCCCTCCGATGCAGTCCACAGGTGGTTCTTTATCGGCCGAGCTTCCCAAGCCAAATTGATCGCGATTGTGAGAGTTCTTGGCAGGGTCTTTCTCAGAACGAAGGCCAACTCAACTATTAGCCAATCCATTCCCTCCAAGAAAGATGAGGGGGCCAAGGGCTACCACCACAGCACTGCGCTATGCAATGGATAGGGGAAGGGGACGAGTGATATCTATCAAGAAGACATTAAGCAGCAAAGTGCAAGCTATTAGAAAGGCAAGAATCTACCTGCGCGTCACTCGGAGAACCAACACCGAGGTTGCGGCTCTGTTTTATTGTCATGATAGGGCTACGAAGGTCAAGTAGGAAGACACACAAAGACAAATGAGGAAGCCATGACCCCAAAGAGTAACAGTGGGACATATCAACGAAGAAAGCATGGCCGCAACGCTAAGTCACGCAAAGAGAGACCCCAAGTATGAGGAAAATCAAGATCCAAGCGAGGAAGGCATGGCCCCAGATAAAAGTGACGCCCCTCGGAAGATACACACCATCGCCAGAGCAATCCTCACACATACCGGAGTTCTACCACCACCAACTCTGCCATTACGATTCCAACAAGAGCGTTATGTCTTCCAATCTAGGCTATGCCAGCCATCAAGGCAGTTCTTTTGATCAAATCTATATTCACCCGCAGAGCCATGTCAGTCAACCGAGTAACTTCTACCCGTGTTGTGTTTTCCACGACCAGGGAGTCGATTTCCCGCTGGCCACAACCTTTGTAGACAATGGCAAAGACAAGACTTATGACAACGAATGGAGCCACGGTACTATCAGTTAGCCAGGCATCCACCAGCAAGCCAATGTCTACCAAGGCGTTTGCCCCCAAGGACCCGTGGCTCTGCAGCAATTCATCAAGCACCAAGGTAATTTCAACCAGAAAACCACTATCCACCAAGGGTATTGCTTCCCAGAGCCCCTAGCTGTCGAGCAATTGAATACCCACCAAAACAACTTTGATCAGCAAGGTGGCTGGTACCAGCGGGATATCATCAGGGACTCCCAACACGAAATCTATCACGACCAGCAAAAGCTCGCGAACCAGGCGAGCGGTGCAAGCGTCTGCGGACCAGCCTTTTCCAAGGCCCAAGCCATCGACGGAGACAAGAGCACACAGGAAGCATCGCAAAAGCCTTTGGATCATGGTCTCGACATCGACACCATACTCAGCAGCAACAACAAGCTGTTGAGGGCAGCTGCAGACTTCCAAGAGGCTGGCCTGTTGAGCTCCTTCATGAAACATCCAGTCGGCCGTTTAACAGATGATAGTCGAAACCTCGAACATGATTGGATCATGAGAGCCCTGAAGATTAAGCTGATCTACCTTGAGGCTTGTCGTCGCCGTGCGGAAGCCAACAAATAAAAAAAGGGCAATTGAGGCCATCATGAATTTGGTGATGCCCGGAATGGGTTTGAAATCCCAGTGAGAGGAACTAGCCCAGTGGGAGACATGGTCTTGGGCTGCCGTCGACATGGATCGGATAAAAATGTTCTAGTGGGAGATTTGGGGGATAGCAAGGAAAAATGTCCTGAAAGGGAGATGCTGCAACAGAGATTGTCTTGTGTATGCAAATCCGAAAATACAAAATGAAATATGCAGTTGACATTTCACAGCTAATTATTAAAGAAATCAACAGATTAAAAAAAGGATGAGATGCAAAAAGTCCAAGTACAAGGACCCATCCTATGTCAACTTATCACGCAACGCCGTTTTCTTCCTATAATCATAAATCAAGATCGCTTCAACAATGCAACGCCTCAAAATGGAAAAAATATGTTCATGCTAAATCAATGCGAGTGCACCATGTGTGCGCTATTCACGTGGTGAAGACGCCAGCACTGCCCGCAAACCAGGTGAACGAAGCGAAGGTAATTACAGCCATGCCGACGGTAAATTTGATGGCTAGGCGACTGGTTTCAGACATGGCCCCACTGCAAGTAGCACACTTGAATTCTGGTGAAGTTAGTAGTCAGGTTGAGTGAAGATGGTTCGTACAAGTACTTACGATTGAGAGGGGTGTAAGACTGGGGGGGTGTACATCCCGAAGACGTAACCGCCATTCTGCGAGCTCAAGTGTCCAGCGCTAGCGGCATCACCAATGTCCTTGCTAGCATCATAGATAATCAGAGTATACGAAGCGGTAAGTAACGGGATCGTAGCTGATTTCTGGTATTTTCCAGTATCCCACACGACGCTTCCGGTTTGCTTCACGCTCATGTTGGAGCTGAGCGTATATGTCATCGAGTTGAGACTGCACGAAGCCACGACGTTGACCGCCGACGGCGTGACCGACAGGGAGGTGTAGTTCCAGACGAATGTCACATCCTGACCGATCTTGTAGTAGGTCGTGGACGAGGAAGCGGGTGTGATCATGGACACACCGCCAGCAGCGGCAGCAGGATCAATGGAGATCGAGGTGGTGGCGGTAGTCTTGCTTTTTCCTGTCTTCGTGCCAGTTGTTTTGCCGGTAGTCTCCGAATCGGTTGCGGTGTTGGTGGTTTCTGAGTCGGTTGCAGTTCCGGTTTTCGTGTCGGTAGTGTCGGTGTTTGTGCCGGTGGAGGTTCCAGTCGAGGTCTTGGAAGCGGTAGATGAATCGGCGGTGGTTTCGGAAGTTTGAGCTGTTGTCTCCGCAGTGTCTGAATCATAGGTCAGGATCAAGGACAATAGTATGACAAGAGTCTTGCATTACCTGCTCGCTTATCCAAAGAGTCGCCCAACAGCGCTCCATAGGGCCGCCATGGCCAAGCCGACGATATTGTGCCCAGCAGCAGGATGGTGCAGAGCACACTCAAAATAAAACAACGCATGTCGACGGTTGGAGAGGTTATCCGGAAGTTCAAAAATCAAGCGACCGAGGTATTACTCCCTGGGCTGAAAGGTCAGGCCCCTTGCACAACCGGGTGTGACTTGTCGAACAAGGTCTCCGATGTCGAAACCGGCGTATCGATTTGATGTCGTTACCAAGCAATCTCCGTTGCTATGTAAGGACGATCCAATGGACGATCAAATGGACGTGTTGTCACCTTGACCAGTCCGAAGGCTAATTCAGATTGCGGTGGATTTTCGGGCAACGATCGTAAATAGCTTCACAACTAATAGTAAACGAGCGTTTTCACAAACAATTGGCGAGCTTTTGCAAAGGGGAAAAAAAGAGAGAAAGAGAAGGCGACCTGTATTGCGGGGCTAAGCCCAATCAGGCCATGGCTAAGCATGTGAGACATCGGCTATTTATAGTGGGCTACTCCGTATATTTTCGTCAATATTGACTTGACTCTTGAATTTCATGTTCATTCAAGACACCAAACTGCCAGGGGAGTAATGTACAAGATAACACCAAATCAACCCCGAGAAATCCATATAATACGTACGGAGTATATCTTGCGATTTCGAAGGGCAGAAGGATAAATGATAAGCAAGTCCTTGAAGACCGATAAGTGTTTCACATCAATGTTACTTACCCTGAATCACCAATCAGCCATTCCTACCGGTCACTATTGTTCCATGATATTGGCCCCGTACGTCTTTATCAAATCATGGGGAGTAGCCAGCGAGCCATGAAGTAGTATATATCAACGCACAGCAAAAAGTGCATGATCTACAATTCCCAGCTGTTCGTACCCAAGGTCGAGGATATGTCGGTTCCGCCGAATGAATTTCCCCAAACGTGGGGGTGGCGATTCAATCCAGGGACACCCGAAGACTTGGAAATCGGATGGAATGGAGAGTGGGAAATGAACATATATTTAATAGTACCGTATCATCGGTAGAACAGACTAGATGTGACACTGGATTGCATCGTGTGAAAAAGAGTAAAAATCTGATGAATCTTAACGAGAGAACTAGTTGAATAATCAATGAATTATCAATTAAGTCCGAGGTATACGCCGACATACGCTGAAAGGAAAGTCCAGTAAAAATTGCAAGTTTCAAAAAGAACAAGATCAGAAATCACAAATCACAATCCCACGTTCGCTACAAGCTCGATCCATCCCTCTAAGCGGAGATCTTGGGAGCTGGAACCGCGTTGAGCTGGATCTTGTCACAACCAGCTGGGAGAGCAGGCACCTGAACCGTCTTGCTAAGGAAGTGCAAGTTGGGCAGGATTTGACCAGCCTCGACATCGGCCGGGCACCCTACAAACAAATAGAGTCAGCCATTTGCACATCGCACGATCATGCAGCATTGGAAAAGGGGTATATGAGAACTTACACAGCCATCCGTCCCAGGTCTCACTGGGTCCCTCGACGCCATGCCGACCGATAGTGAAGCCCTTCGAGCCGTGAGTGGGCTTGACGCTGATCTGGGCGCGCTCCTTGCGGATGCCTAAATTGTACCGATGTCGTTAGCATTCCAGGCTCCGGAAACAGCGACATTCAAAATTAGGTCGGGGCTACCTTACCTTTCACATTGATTAGGTCCAGTGCCCAGGGAGAGTTGTTATCGGTATCCAAAAGGATGGTGCCATTGACGAAGGAGAAAGCGGCGGCACGGCTAGCCGGGGCTCCAGCAAAGACGGCTTCGCTGTTGAGCGGGTCACTGATCAGTCCGTGTCCGACGGAGAGGTACAGGTCGTTGTGGGAGCTGTTGCTGGCACCGGAGGTCTTCAAGTTGAAGAGCTTCTCAGATGGAGCGGCAGCCACAGCGGCAGCTAGGAAAGCGACGGTGGCGAAGAACTTCATTTTTTTGGATAGACGAGGGAGTTGAGTTCAGGATGATTACAGAATCGTTTGTTTATGTGTTTTCAGGAGAGGGGTAGAATTTTGACGGGGCAGTGACGCATTTATATGCGTTTGGATCCATGGGAAAAGGATGAACACATACTCCACGGGAGTGGAGTATAGGGCAATCGGACTGTTTCGAGTGTTCGTGGATCCGGATACTCCGTAGACATCCTGAGAATCAAAATAGAAGTCATCATCGGTGAACCATTGCTAGAAGTATTGAGTACTCGACTTCCTTTGACTCTGTACTCTGGTGATGTCCTTGTGTTGTCTTTCCAAGGCAGTGACAACCAGAGCTGCAGGATCTTGCGGGATCCACGCTACCGTCTCAGAGTCTGTGTATGGGGTAAGAGAAAGGGTTAACCCACTGGATCCTGATTACAATCGACATCCTGGATATCACTAAGTGGGGACCTGACTAGCTATACCATCCGAGCCAGTCATGATGGGGATCGAATGTAGATCAAACCCACCGCTTTGTTTATCCATTGATGGAAGAACCTGAGACAAAGATGTGTGATATCAATATATTCTTTCGCCCCTTGGATTGGGCACAATGTTTCCAAGGTAAATTTTGTTTCAATGATTTCATATCAAAAGAAAAGAAAATTGAGAAGAGCAAATCTCCTCTTGACCAAGTAAAAGAAGTCGACGCCAAGATGTCGTGGAGCCTTTCCCCTGAATCCTGTGATATCGGGTTACGACTTCACAAACGAAAATCTCTTGCCTATTTGGCTCGCTATAACCTCGCTTCTATCTTTTCTTTCCTACTGGTTTGGGGTCCCAGAAATAGAACCTGGCCCACTGAATACAAGGTATTATTAGAACATCCCCTTTCTTTTCATTACACTGGCACATTCTTTTCATACTTGGCGTACATCATTGTATGAACGCATGTGGCTTGGACTTCTGTTGGAAGCCCCTGGTAGCGTCCCACAGGGCGTTTTAAGCTTGTGCCTAGTGGAGACCGCCTACAGTATACTGCAACGGACATACTACGTTGTATCGTGTTATTGACTATGCAATTGCATCAAGGGTATCTGTACTTGTCATTCATCATCTCGTGATACTATACAGGAAGCATCTCTAGAGATAGCTTGCTAAATTTCTATCTCTGGATGTTCTCAGTCTGGCTTAATTTACAAAGCCCGTCCCCGTCCCCGGTTATTCACATTGCGAGCGAATTCAGGTTTCAACGTCCAGCGACCCCGACGATCACGACCATGCTCAAGGGTTGCAACCGTCTTCAACGACTCCTGGAACTCGGCAACACGCTGCGGGTTGGAACAGTAATGGTTGAAATGGTGAACAATTGACTGGGACAGAGTCGGCCCACGTTGAGAGGCGAGATAATCACGGATCAACGGTATAAAGTCTTTGCCGCGTGGCATACGTGATGATGGATTATCAGAACCACTGGGTCTCTGCCCAGCAGCTGCGGCAGCAGCTGCGGGGTTGAGTCTAGCCAACAGGTCTGAGGATGAGGGTCCTATCCCAGCAGGGCGAGCTGAGCTACCACCAACCCGTGAATCTTCACGGCCCCCCATCCCAAAACGGCCTGTCCAGGTGGGAAGTCCAATAGGGAGTGCCCGGGCAGTTTCTTCGGCTTTGCGGAGCTCTTCGGCAGCTTCGTTGGCGACGCGGCGAGCTTCAGCTTCGATCATCTTAGGATCTGCGCGAACCACTCGTTTGCCATTTACGATTTGGTCATGCTGAACTGCAGAGTGGACCCCGGAACGAGCAAAGATGCCATGCATAATGCGGTCTTCGGAAGATTTGGCATTTTTCTCCTCTTCGTCGGTGTTTTGGAAATCCTCGACTTTGGCAATACCATGGATGTCGTTGATGTCTTCTTCCTCTTTGTGAGGGGAGGCAGGCTTATTTTTGCTACCACGGGCATCTTTAGCATCTTCTTGGTACGTGACCTCAGCGTTCTTGAAAAGTTTGGTCGTCTCCAACTCTTCATCGTTTTCGTCAGTCAGAGTGAATAGATCATACAGATCACTCAACTGGAAACCTTCTCGTTGATGAGGGTCACGGGTAATTTTGTTGGTCAAAAATTGCTTGAAGATCTGGCGATGATAAATCTTCTCTTCGATAGTGCCCTTGGTCATCAAGCGGAAGATTGTAACATCACGCTTTTGGCCCAGACGCCATGCACGCTCTCGCGCCTGTAGGTCGGTCGATGGGTTCCAGTCAGGATCGTAGATAATGACACGGTCTGCACCTGTCAGGTTCACTCCGATCCCGCCCACACGGGTGGTAAGTAAGAAAACGTGGATGTCGGGGTCCTTATTGAATTCGTCGACCAGATTCTGGCGCTCCGTGATTGGAGTAGTCCCGTCCATTCGGCGGTAATTAAATCCACCTAGCGACCTGAGGAATTTCTCAATGATGTCTAGCATGAGACGGCCCTGGGTAAAAAGCAGGGTCTTATGGCCAGTATCTCTCCAGACCTCAAGCAATCCCTTCAAAACCTTCATCTTGCCAGACCGCTCTGCATCGCCATAATCCGCCTGGTGAGAGCGCAAGGCGTGGTCTGCCAAGTCTGGATGGTTGCTGATCTTGCGCAGGATGTCAATGCCATACAGGGAGTTTCTTTTACCGCGTATAATGGACTTCATGTCATCTGAGCCAAGGAACCTCTTGTAGATGGTTCGCTGGAGTTGGGTCAATTTGCAGAAAATGACCTGTTCGCTTTTCAGCGGCAGATCAGATGTGACGTCGGCCTTGAACCGCTGGAGCAGATAAGGACTGATGGCATCTTTGAGGGTCTCTGCGCATTTTGCAGCAGTCTGCACTTGAAGGTTTGATGCAGATGCATACCCACCCTGACGGATAGGGATCTCAAATTGATTCTTGAATGTAACTAGGTTCCCCAGGCGCATTGGAAATACAAAGTCGAATAGGGACCAGAGATCCACCAGACTGTTCTGCATTGGGGTCCCTGAAAGAATGATACGATGCGGAGTTCGGAGTTCCTTGCAGCTGAATGTGATACCGGCATCTGGATTGCGGATTTTGTGACCTTCGTCGAGAATAGCGCAGCCCCATTCAACATCAACAAGAGCATCTGCATAAGACTGCAGACCTGAGTATGTGGTCACGAGGACATGACCTTCCTCCGTAACACGCTTGATGATTTTTTTCGCCGCTTTCTGACCAGCAGATAAGTGACGAGAGCTGTGGCTGCCCATCATTTCTGATGAAAGCGCATTTTCCCGACTACTTTCCTTACCAAGATTCATCATTCCGCTGCCTGATGAGTGAAGGATGGAAACACGGAAGGGTGGCCACCAACGATGAAACTCGTTGACCCATTGTTTCATTAGAGTTGCAGGGCAAACAATGATTGCAGGTTTGGTGAGCTTCTTACTATGATGCAGTGCCGCAAGATAAGAAATCGCCTGGATGGTTTTCCCCAGCCCCATCTCATCACCAATGATTCCGCCAACGGTTTGCTGGTGCAACTCCCAAAGCCACTGGACTCCAGTTTTTTGGTAGGGAAATAGGAAACGGCTGATGTCTCCGGGGACCCGCAGTCCATTGTCAAGCTCCATGGCTGGTTCGGTAGGATGGGGCTTAAGCCACTCCGCTTCTTCATTTTGGTCGGTTTCGACGATCTGACTTTCAGCATGCCGTCGAGCAGAGCTTCGCCGACTGATCCATTCCTGCAGGCGAGACTGATATATCGCCTCGTTTCCATCATCGAGGCCACTCAGATCTTCAAGCTCTGTGGCAGTTTTTGTTTGCTTGCGCTTGCGACTTAGCTTTGTCTCCGGGAGAGTCTCAGGCATGAATTCTTCACCCTCGGATGTAGCTTCAGCATCAGAGGCAACGTAGCTTGCCGAGGAATCTGCTCCCGGGGAGCCACGGCTATCATCTACCTTCCTCCGCTTGCTCTTGCTTTCGCTGCTTTCGGCAAAATCGAAATCTGGGCGTGCAAGGTTCCGGTGGGACGCGGCTGGCTGATGTTTGGCTAGTTCGCGCTCCTCCTCTTCTTGCTGCTGTTCCTCGGTATCGACAAGTGCATCGTGAAGGTTGGCAAGTGGTCCATCTCTGGAGCCCTCTTGCATCAATGCGAACGGGGTGATCTTTCCGGTTCGCAAGAGATAATCGCGGCGGGATTCGTTCGGTTGTCGTTCGGACCCGTGCGCCACCGTTGAACTGCCCAGTGATTCGCGCCTCTCATCAATGCGCTGTTGTATGTCCTTCAGGTCTTTCCCTAGGTCGATCTTGCGCGCCTGCAGCCTTTTCAGCTCATTCTCGATCCGATGCCGAGTGGCGGCTCCGACGGGCTGTGTCAGGCGCTGCTGCGCTTGGCGGACCTGCGAATCGACGCGTCTGCAAAATTAGATTAGTAATTCAGTCAAATATCAGGCCTGTTATGCGTTCTTACTCCCGCTCCACAAGGGTCTTTTCAAGTCGCTTGATGTCATTCTCCTCGGCTTTACCGGCCAGAGCTTTATCGGCCTGAGTAGAAGGGAAAAAAAAACAGAAATGTGAGCCCGATGTGATATTTAAGTGAGAACTCGGTCATACCTGGCGAGTAATATCTCTTTCGAGATCATCCTGGTCGCGAACATCTGCTTGGAGGTCCCGCAGGCGACTCGCCTCCTCGTTTGTAGACATGGTCAAAGTTGTTCAAATAAAGATTGTATTACATGAGAAGAAGTGAGAGACTAAAAGAGTTTGTCTAGGGCAAGTTGGAACATGATGATTCCTCAAAGAGAGCAAATATAATAGCACAATAGCACAATAGCACAGGCACCGATAAGTCTAGATGAATAGCACTCAATCTAGATATGAGAAGCAATGGCATAATCGGACACCGCCAATTACACCGCTCACGTGGACGAATCAATGACTCATTAAAAGCTTAGGTAATATTCATTCTAGGAGGTCCACTACCCAGTCCGAGGTGTCGGGAGGTATGTACGTACTCGAACCTTCAATCATCGTCGAAAGGTATACATAGAAAAGTCTCTTGCACATAGTATGCTTTCCCCCCTTTTCTGCCGCCTATCTATTTGGAGGACCGGGAAGGGCGAAAACTACCTTATAGATATCCAAGAAACCCTAGGAAGCCCACCAGAAACCTACTGAAAAGACTGCTGAAAAGACCACATCATTGCCCCATAGGAAAGACATTTCAAGGCTTCATAAACGACCTTCTATTCTTATATTAACCCTATAAAGACAAGACTATATTATGGGATTCTAGTTAGTTGCCTCGAATTCTATATAGTTATCAAGGACTGATCTGATATAATGTTTTTATTTAGGAGCAATAACGTGAATAGGGACTTTACCTATATTGGATCTTTTACGTATATCACAATTCGACGAAATATCATCATCATTAAGGGTTAACTAAGAAAGATCGGATATCAATGCTCGAAGAGGAGTATTAGAATCCACTATAGAGCTGCTTTTCAATCATCCTAACAGAGATCCTGCAGCATATTGTTTGAGCTCTAGCTAAATATGACGTCTACTATAGCATTATATGTGATTTAGATGATATGGGACCTGAATGAGTATGATTCAGATAATCTCAGTATGATATCTTGGGACTTCCATGGATAATCGTCACGGCTTCAACGATAGTGCTAAACAGTCTGGTCTGTAAATGATCAAGACACTGTGGTTAGCACCAAGACTCATTGGAAGATCGAAAGGAGGCTGGATATTTGATCGCGGATGTGACATTATAGTCAGATTTGAGGAACAGCCTGAGTCTATATCGTAAAAGTCGTGGTCGGGAATATTCAGAGTGAGCATAGCATTGGGCATCCATCCCATACGGTGGTATAATGTAACAGATTCTATATATACGGACGGGCCGAATGATATTGCTGTTACTAATTAAGACCTCAATACCTCAGCAGTAGCTTTCTAAAAGAACTCGTACTCGGTGACTTGACAGATAGGTCATTGGAAGACATCGGGTCTCTCAGTGGAGTTGAGGAGAGTTGTGAATGAAGAGACAGAAGGTAATATCATGTTTCCATGGAGATATTGGCATCTGGTTTTTTCAAATGTTTGACTCTGATTTTATGTATCGTTTCCTACAGAATCTGCAGTATTTGATCCAGTTGGTGTCTAACAATACTAGATATAAATCCTCTCGGTTGATACAGGGTAACAACTGTAGGCAATAAAACGACGTTTTAATAATGAAACCAATTGCAATTGCTTTTTCTTAACTAAATCAATATCCAGATAACTTTAGAATATATTTCGAATACCACGTCATGCTCCATAATAAAGATGATCCACTCCCAAATGGCGGACTAACTATGGAATCGATGGCGCGGTAACAGTCTATAAAACACCTGTAACAAGACACTCCGTACTTTGCTTAGTTCATTTTGCATGAATAGTAAATTAGTTGAGCCCTGTGCAATCGGATCTAGCCACTTATTACATATGTAGCCAAAACAAAGGCACTCAGACAGTTGGGTATGCAATGGAGCGTCATGCGAGAGAGTCAGGTCGCCAAGGGGACCACAATACCGTACAAATGTCGAGACTTCAAGGTCTTGAATATATCTGTGATGCGTGGTCAAGGATTATTTGTATTGAGAAGAGAAATGATATATACCCCTTAGTAGGTATGTCCAGCTTTGGTCAGTCGAGTTCACCTCCACTTGGGACTCATGTTTCCCTTCCCTTCTCTCTAGTTACATACTATCCTATGCTTCGAGCCAAATTATTGTTACATAGTTGCTGTTGATTCCAGCTGTTTGTTTGATTATTCGTTTTTGTGTGCCAACCCAAGTCTATTGACTTGGCTGATCCCCAGCCGCCTACGTCTGTCGCAACCAAATTGCGACCGCCCCCCCTCTCCCCTTCGAAACTTGTCTTCACCAACAATTCCTCAAATGATGAAGCATATCACGACCTCATTTTAACGCCAATTCCCCACTTTTCATCCTCTTTCCCTCGAAATTCGTCGAGACTTGCCTTAAATCTGCGGTCGCATTACGAGTGCCCGTCCCCGCTGGCATCCCACGACCCTGACCGTGGTCCTTGAGACGAACACCTCGAATCTATTTGTTGGCCCAAAAAAAAGGGCTTTAACAAAATGGATCCTGGGTGGCAGCCTTATCAAGATCCTTTGATGGGCCAGCCCGCGCATTTCAATACTGCTTTGGCATCTCATCCTCAGCAACTAGCCTCGAAATACGGTCAGTCACCACAGTCACAGCCGCCCGTTGGATACACCTACGAGACATTCCAGACCCCCGGCACGACATCCAAAGCCCCTTCAGCCGGCTCAAAGTCCAAAACTGTGTCTATGGCATCCTCCCCCACCGCCACGCCACGTAGTCGGGATTATGTCACCGATGCGGATACTACCATGGAGGACGCTGACCCGTACAACCGGGCAAAGTACCCCTCGCGGCCAAACCACAATCGCGCCTCGTCACAATTCTTGAATCAAGCAGAGGAATCATCGGCTGCCCGCAGATACTCTCCGGGGAATGTTCTTTCGCCGCCGATGTCATACCCAACCAGTCCTGGGAAGTCCCAAGGCTCCTACGGATTTCCATCCGCGCCCCAGAGTGCTTCCCGCCGGTCCCCTGCGAGACCGGAATATGCACCACCACCACAAGGATATCAATCGCCTCCATGTGAGTTGCATCTTGGTCACTTGTTCAGCCATGTCCCGTTCGCTAACATCTCGACAGCCAACCGACCCCCTAGACTCCCGCCCCTTCAATCCGGCGACCTCAGCCCAGACCAGTACTATCCACCCTCCGCATCTTCTCATATGAGTCCAGGATTTGGTCCCGGGTCGCGATCTCCACGGTCCGGCTCGCTACCATCTCAGCCCCCTCTAGTCCCTGGTCGCGGTCCCGTGCCCAAGTTCAAAAAGATCCAGTCTGTGCAAGAACTGCAGCCGCGCATGAATGTACAACCCGCGTATCGGCGCGCCAACCCAGAGGGCGGATTTATCAGCGTGAGTGCTCAGCAACTCTAATCCTGTGGTCCCATTGACTAACCCTTTCAGCCGCTTCAATCGCTGACAACCCACCTCCCGGCCACCTACCGCATATGCAACCCTGGTTTCAACTACGAGTCTTCGAGAAACCCCCGAAGAGTATTGACAAAACCCAGCAAAGGGGTGAAGAACGATGGGTACGACAACGAGGATAGTGATTATATCCTTTATGTCAACGATATTCTGGGGAGCGAGGAAGCCGGTCACAAGTATGCCCCTATTTCCCTCTGTGAAGCCGGCCGCTCGGCTGACAATTGCTTTTCCTTCCGATCTAGAAACCGATACCTCATTCTCGATGTCCTCGGTCAAGGTACCTTCGGCCAGGTCGTGAAATGCCAAAACTTGAAAACGGGAGAAGTCGTGGCTGTCAAAGTCATCAAGAACAAGACTGCTTATTTCAACCAGAGTATGATGGAGGTTTCTGTGTTGGATCTTGTATGTCATATATGCCTAACCCTTATCATTTGGACACCCACTGATTCCCCGCAGCTCAACAGCAAGTACGACAAGAACGACGACCACCACCTGCTTCGTCTCAAGGACACGTTCATCCACCGCCAGCATTTGTGTCTAGCATTTGAATTACTCAGCGTTAATCTTTATGAGCTGATTAAACAAAACCAATTCCGTGGATTGAGCACTACCCTTGTCCGGGTGTTTGCCCAGCAACTGCTAAATGCCTTGAGTTTGTTGAACAAAGCGCATCTGATTCACTGTGATCTGAAGCCGGAGAACATTCTCCTAAAAAAGTCAGTATCACATGTCAACTTTCAGGAGTCAGTTTCTAACTGTTCACAGCCTCGAGAGCCCAATTATCAAGGTCATCGACTTCGGTTCTGCATGTGATGAGCGCCAGACAGTCTACACCTACATTCAATCGCGATTTTACCGATCTCCAGAAGTACTATTGGGCCTGCCGTACGTAATTTACTCTCTTGTTTTGTTCCTTGTTAATTTTTTTTCTAGCTACTCATCTGCCATTGACATGTGGTCTCTTGGGTGTATCGTGGTGGAGCTCTTCCTCGGTCTACCGCTGTTCCCCGGCTCTTCGGAATACAACCAAGTTTGTCGGATCGTCGAGATGCTCGGTATCCCACCAACGTGGATGCTAGAGATGGGTAAGCAGTCGGGAGAGTTTTTCGAAAAGACACAGGACGAGTTCGGAAGAAAGACGTACCGCCTCAAGAGCTTGGAACAGTATTCCAGGGAACACAACACCAAGGAACAGCCAAGCAAAAAGTATTTCTCGGCCTCAACACTGGAGGAGATTATCCGAAGTTACCCAATGCCTCGGAAGAACATGAAGCAAGCAGAGGTTGATCGAGGTAGGTCTCTTTTCTGTATATATACGCTGAACCTTGACTAACATCACAGAACTAAACAACCGGATTGCGTTCATCGACTTTGTGCGGGGACTTTTGTCAATCAATCCTCTCGAGCGATGGTCACCCCAACAAGCTAAGCTGCACCCGTTCATCACCCAGCAAAAGTTTACGGGGCCCTTCATGCCACCAATGAATCTCAAGTATTCAACGGCCAATAAGCCTGCCCCGGGGGTTCAACAACAACAGCAGGCCGAAGCCGCTAGCAAACAAAGAGCAGCACAGGCGGCCCATGCGCAAAATGCCTATGCCGTGCAAATGAACCAATTCCATCCTCCACCCCAGCCTCAGCCTCAAGCCCCGCCCATGTACAATGGAATGTATCAACAAGGTGCACCACCTCCTCCATATCCTACCCAGCAGCCGCCTGGCTACGGTCACCAAATGGGAATGATGTCAGGCAACCAGGTCCCACCACAAAGTCTCTATGCACAGGCCACTACGCGAGCAGGCCGTCAACGAGCATCCACCATGGACCCTAATGGAGGAATACCAACTACCATCCAACGAGTCGCTAGTCACTTGGACCCCAACGCACCGATTCGATTGCAGCCCAGTCCCGCGTACTACCCACCTCCTCCGGATGGGTACGTCGATGCTAACGCCAGTCAGCGGCGTCGTGGGAGCCGAGCGGGCAATGGGAATGGGAACCAACGTAACCGGGATTTCATTCGCACTCTCGAAGATGGCGTGCTCAGCGAGGGATACACGAGTCAGAACCAATGGCACTAGGACATTCGGAGCACAGCGGCATTCCCTTTGCCCCGTGTTTCCTAAGACTTGAGAGCTGGCATCCTGATATAACTCCCCCTCTGACCAATTCCAAGGGCATCAACGACTCCCAAAGTACTGTGTTTGTAAGCCTTTGCTCTGCCGACCCATTCCTTGCCAGCCAGCCTGTCCTTATATGGCGGGTTCTTGTAGGTATGGTCCAAAAAAAACCCCCTCCAGTGGGTCAACGCGGTCTACAATGGTCCCCCACCGCTGATACACGATCTGCGTTGCTACCTAGCGCTAGATCGACCCGCACGCTTACTCCCCGTGAGTGGTGCCCATCAGTGGTCAATTCCTTCGCCACGAGATATGACTCCTCACATCATCACTATTTCATTCCGTTTCATTACGTTTCTTGCTGTGTTACGATCCCAATTATGTTCTGCAATTTCTTTAGGCAGTGCTTCGGCATATGTGTCTGCCTTGTTTGTTATTTTTCTCTCTCAGCATAGCCTGGATGGAGCATGAAAGAACGATCTCATCCATTTCCTTTGGTTCCCCTCGTAACTGTTTGGATTAATTCGAATCTTTTCTGGGAATGTTGGTCTACCGTTTTTCTTTCTTGTTGAGGTAAGGTTTTCGGTCGTATGTCATGGCATATCATTTCTCCTGGGGGATTACTCATTGTGATTTCTTCACACAGTAAATAGTAGAAATAACAGCGAAACATGAATGGAACAATTCAAGAGTTGATGAGCGCTTTATAAGTTTCTTCAAATATTTGCCTGCGTCGGCCTGATCGGTCAGGCCTTGAGTACCATGTAAAGTACCTAGATAGGAGGCAGTCTCCAAATGTCAAAGCAGGTTGAGTTATCTCAACTTCTTCGTTTTTTTGGATATCTTGGTAGAGGTTCAAAGTGAAGAAAATGTCCAAACAGTCGGATTGAACAAGTTGAAGTAGCATAAAAACGAAGTATAAAAAAGGCCGTCACTATTTCTTTGTTTTACGCTATGCCTAATTGGGTTTAGTCAGCCCCTCGCTTAAATTTCGTGTGTGGCTCTCAACAGCGGGAACTTCGACTTTGTATCGCCGACGACCTGATTTCTCAGCTTTAGGATCGCCATTTCCTTTTAACGAAACCGCAATCCGCAACCATGGCGTCGCGTTTCTTCTACGGCAGCGGCAGCGACAGCGATAGCTCGTCTGACGAGGAGGAGGAGGTCTACCGTTCCGACTCCGGCAGCGAGGAAGATTCTGACCAGGATGAGACCGACTCTGACTCTAGCTCCGACAGCGATGAGGAGGGCGAGGAGGGCCGCACCGGTGCCTCCAAGTTCTTGCACGATGATTCCGAAAGCGAGGAGAGTGAGGAGGAGGAGAAGGTTACGGTCGTCAAGTCCGCTAAGGACAAGCGTCTCGAGGGCATTGAGAGCACCATCCGCCTGATTGAAAACGCCGAGAAGATCAACGACTGGGCTGTCATCGCCACTGGTGAGTCCATATACTGGCTGGGAAAACTAGAGAGCCGGCAAAATTTGTTGGCACAAGGAACGGCATCAACTGACATGTTTACCACGCAGAATTCGACAACCTGAACCGCCAGATGTTGAAGGTTACCGGCCCCACCCCCAAGGTCTACATTCAGGCCGTTGCCGAGCTCGAAGACTTCACCAACGAAACCGGTTCCAAACTGAAGGCCTCGAACAAGAAGATGAACGCTAGCAACAGCAAGGGCTTCAACGCGGTCAAGCAAAAGATTAAGAAGAATAACAAGGAATACGCCACCCTGGTCGAGAAGTACCGCGCTGGTAAGGACGCTTTCATGGCGGACGAGGTCGAGGAGAAGCCCGCTCCTGCTCCTGCCCCCAAGCCCACCAAGGTGGAGAAGATCGAGAACTTCGCTGCCGCGGCTGCCGCCGCCGCCGCTGGTGCTGAGGACGATGGATTTGCTACAGTTGGACGTGGTGGCAAGACCCTCCAGTACACCCCCGAGAGTATTCTCAAGCACCTCCGTGTCATCGTTGAGTCCCGCGGAAAGAAGAATACCGACCGTGCCGACCAGATCCGCACTATGCAGAAGCTCCTCGAGGTTGCCACTACTCCTTACCAACGCATCCGCACCTACATGACCCTGATTTCCACCCGCTTCGATCTGACTGCCACATCCGCCGCCACCTATATGTCAAGTGAGCAATGGCAGGCTGCAAACGAGGAGTACTCAGCTCTCCTTTCTGTGTTGGAAGAGAACCGCCAGTTCCTTGTCAGCGAAACCGCCGACGAGTGGGAGGATGACGAGAAGCAACCTACTGTTGCTGAAGGCGAGGTCTTCTTGATTCCCGGCTCCGTCGTATCCCTTGTGGAGCACCTCGACGACAGCCTCACAAAGGGTCTTCGCGAGATTGACCCCCACACCTCAGAGTACATTGAGCGCCTGACGGACGAGCAGGCACTTTATACCTCCCTTGTTCGCTCACAGCTTTACGTCGAAAGTCTCAAGGGTGCCGATAAGAATGGCCAAGATAGCATGAACAGATTGGTCATCAGACGTTTGGAGCACATTTACTTCAAGCCCGCTAATGTCATTGCCATTGTCGAGCAGGCCAAGGACAAGGCAGTTCCCACAAATATTGAGTCGGCTGTTACTGCTACCTACAAGCCCGGGGATATCCAGAGCCTTGTGGGTTCTATCTGCAATTATATGTTCCAACATAGCGATGGCATTCCCCGCGCTCGCGCCATGCTCTGCCAAATTTACTTCCTTGCTTTGCACGACCAATACTATAAGTCTCGTGACTTGATGCTCATGTCTCATCTGACTGAGAACATCGCCACTTTCGACGTCAGCACCCAGATTCTCTTCAACCGCACCCTTGTTCAGATTGGTCTCTGTGCCTTCCGCGCTGGCCTCATCTACGAGGCCCAGAACACCCTTGGTGAAATCTGCGGCAGCGGCCGCCAAAAGGAGCTTCTTGCCCAGGGCATCATCATGCAGCGTTACTCCACTGTCTCGCCCGAGCAGGAACGCTTGGAACGCCAGCGCCAGCTTCCCTTCCACATGCACATCAACCTTGAGTTGCTCGAGTGTGTTTATCTCACCAGCAGTGCTTTGCTTGAAGTGCCTTTGATGGCCCAGACATCCTCCACCCCCGAGCTGCGCCGTCGCATGATTTCCAAGACCTTCCGCCGCATGTTGGACTACAATGAGCGCCAGGTCTTCACCGGTCCCCCCGAAAACACCCGCGACGGTGTCATCGCCGGAGCCAAGGCTCTTGCCGCTGGCGATTGGAAGCTTTCCGCCTCTACCTTCGCCGCAATCAAGATCTGGGACCTCATGCCCCAGCCCGAGTTGATCAAGGCCATGCTGTCCCGCCAGACCCAAGAGGAGGGTTTGCGCACCTACCTCTTCACCTACGCCCCCTACTACGACAGCCTCTCCATCTCTTCTCTGGCCAGCATGTTCGAACTTGAGCCCAAGAAGATTGTCTCCATCATCTCCCGCATGATCTCCCACGAAGAGCTCGCTGCCGCTCTCGACCAGGTCAACGACGCCATCATCTTCCGCAAGGGCGTCGAGCTCTCCCGTCTCCAGTCCCAGATTGTCACCCTGGCCGACAAGTCCACCTCCCTCCTCGAGTCCAACGAGAAGACCCTGGAGCAGCGCACTCAGGGCATGGCCAATGCCTTCCAACGCGAACACGGTCCCGGTGCCCGTGGCGGTCGCGGTGGTCGCGGTCGTGGCGGTGGTCGTGGCGGTGCCCGCATTCCCCAGGGCGATCGCCGACCTGGTGGCCAACAGTTCGGTGGTGGTGCATTGGGCGCAGCGATCAAGGCTTAGATTCTGATGTAATGGCATGTTCTTTCTCTTATATTTTTCCCCCTTCTTCATGGTTTCCTTTTTATTCCTGTCATCCCCTTCGTGTTAGTACGACCGTTCCTTGTTTTTTAGGTCGGAAAAATTGCCCCGTTTCTGCGCTTTTTTTGTGATTCATCTACATGATATTCACGTATGGAAATGATCGAGAAAGAATCAAGGTGCATACTGGTTAGAAATTGACGGCTTATGGATTAGTTCTCAGTTCAGCCGCGTGAGATTGTAGAGTACTGTGTACTGTAAACGAAGCACCTGTGAATTACTACATGCGACTAATTTTGCCTTTTTGCGTTTGATTCCCGAATACGCCGTCACATAACCTACCTTGAATGCCACCGACATGAAAGGCCCGTTTTTGCTGCTCTTCCTAACTCTCTATATCACACTCATCGGCGCCGCCTCTCTTTTACACTAGACCTCATTGAACAATACGCATTTGCTTTCAGCCCGATGTTACCCCTTTCATTTTTATTAGAGATGCCGCTCGAGCCGACGTCTTCTTCGTTCTAGCCAGCAGCATAGGTTGCTATATCATCTAGTCGCCTAGGAGTAGAACCCCTAGGATAATCTAGTCCGCAACCGTATCGTTCAATGTCGTATCTATAGACCGTGCTACGAAGCTATCTGGGTCGCCATCTCTTCTAAATTATCTTACTCTTTAAGTGTCACTTATTCTACCGGCCTGTATTACATCTATAAAATTTTATTATACTATCTTCGATGCTACCTAGGTACCTCGCTCTATCCGCTCTATCTAAGCTTATACTTGTATGGCCCCTAATGCCGCACAGCGGCTCTCCGTTACCTCGTCGCGAACCCTATCACGTCTAGTTTAGTCTTCTGTATCTTTCGTGTCACAATATAAGGAAGCTTCGACTATGTGAAAAGAGTATCATGGCACCGACTCTCCGAGACTTGATGCGAAACGACCCTACGCATCCGTTATCTGAACTTCTTCGACGCGTATGAATCCTCAATCTCATTGCATATATAGGTCAACGGCCCAAAGCTTATGCTTACCCCGAGGTTACAATGCATTGCCTCTATCGCCGATGCTGTTATGGCCCGTAGGTCCTCGTCATACTTCTCGGGCCTATTCTGTCCAGTCAATCCATCGCCTATCGCAGAAATATCTGGGGTAGGCCAATAGCAAAATTGCCGTATCTGCATTGGTTGCTCGATCTGACGATGGAGGGAAAGGCGTTCGGGTCACTTGAGGGGCCTATTACGGAAATCGTGCCTCGTCGGCATGACAAGGAAATCAATCTGCTTGGGCATCTACCTGGGCTTACGTTCGGATAGATTGAAATATTCTGCGGGCAAGAGGATCTTAAGATTAGTTGGCCTACAAACATCTTTCATATTCCACCAAAATTCACCCTTTGAGGCTTCGCAATCTCAACTCCCGACGGCGGTAGAAGATCTTTGCAGCCATCCTACGGTAGATTCAGCGATTCTGGATTATTCCAGTACCCAATTTAAAGACTAGACCGCACACTGATGGCAAGCCGGGCAGTTCCGCGTGTGTATAGGACCGGCGGTACACCGTACACGGCCCATGTATGGACACGATTGTTCAAATCAGTGGGGAAAAGAACAGGGGGAAAGGGAATAAAAAGGAATAAAACAGGAAAAGTGAACGTGTATCTATCCAGCAAATGCCAAGATCAAAGGCAATTCAAACCAAGATGGAGTTAAAAAAAAGCATACGAATCGCAGAGTATTCAAATCAAAATGTATAACTTACCCAAATTGAATATCACCAAGAGCAAGGGAATGACCTTATGCAGGGCAGGGTTTTACCACTAATGATGTGAACAGGGGGGGAATAGTTGACTCCTGGTTGACCCGCAATTGATTTCGAGACACAAGAATTCCAGCTTTCCCCCTCAAATCCTAAGATGTATGGAGTAATACAAGAACAGTGCCTGACCCTAAAGAACACGGAACGCCAGGATCACTGTAGGCGGGTGGTGATGCTTGTTTCTCTTGGCTCTTGGCACGGCTCAAAACATGAGCATGGCATACCTGTATAACGGCGACAATGCATTTCTTATCCGAGGCTCACTTCTGAAATAGGTCCGAAAGTTCCTTTCGCACCGCTGACATTTGCCGAGAAAGGAAAGACGTTCAAACAATCCTTGATTTTTCGAGTCTATAACACGTACTGTTAGTCCATAGTGATGAAGCTAACAATCTTCAATGACCACAAGGGCACGATGGAGCGTCCACAGCCCACCAAGTTGGATCTCCGGCGGTTCGAGACCCGTTATCGTAAGACAATGGCTGTATCCCTGGCAAGTGGCGTCACAGGCTGCAGTGGGAGGAGTCTGACCAACGGCCAGCCGTAAACAAACTCGCGGTCGTAGAAAAAGGCCGAAAGAATAGGCCCGAGCAATTATCTTGGGGATCAGACCGCAGGAAAGTTTCAATCCCCACAATTCAATTCGTGCCCATTTCTCTGCTCTTACGCTGGAGGACCGGTTGCAGTTCGACTCTTTGAGAGTACCCTATCTCGCTGTCTGTCTCTCTCAGGCACGGAAGAAACTTTGAGTACAGATGGTACGAAAGAAGTCCGGTCTAAATTCAGGACAGAAACTACATCGGCGGATCCTCGTCCCAAAATGGTTCGTGGAAGAAGATCGCCTCTTGCTGAAATGAAGGGAAAATAAAACCTCGCAGCGACGGATGTAATGAGAGTATCCAATCGGCCTTTTCCGGGGAAAGTCCAAATTCCATCAGAGTGCACTGGAGTACAACGCTTAGCAAGCGGTGATAGTTGCTAGCCAGAATTTGCTAGGGCACGCTCTAGTTCCCTGGATCTTATGGATGATGTCGCAGTCTACTTAGGGGGTAGCCTAGGTAAGATGTAGCTTAGTAGAAAATTTGATTTTGAGACATCATATGTGCTATTCCCTACTTAGGCATAGTGGTCAGATTGTAGCCCTAGTCTAGCTTAGTTGTATCGTTTGTTTGGCCAGATGCAGGGTCCAAGTAGCATTCGCTTACAAAAATGTCCAAGACATTCCCAGTTTATACCCTGCCGGGCTTTCAAATCGAAGGAGAACCCTGCTTTCTTTTATATTACAAGGAGATTGCTTTTTATCTCTTCGTCCTATAGGGTAGGTCAAACTGCAAGTCCCTCTCAGCAATCAGCACCACAAGCAACCCCTCATTTCGGCATCACCGAGTCTGTGACGGGTGCATTTTCGTAGTAATGTAGTGACCAATCGTTCCTGATGTGGCTTCAATGACCGAAGACCGGAACTCTCGCGCCACTGACAGCAGTATGATATAAAAGCCACGCACACAGACCTATGAAGTTGGCAATAGATATAGTCCACTTTCCCTTCCCCTCATTCTTACCCTGATCCCAAGGATGCTCTTTGTACTGCTACTGACCACCATGCTTTTGAACCCCTTCCGACCATGTGAGGGCTCTCCAACCTTCCAAGAGGAATACCGGAATAGCAGCTACGTCCCGGAGGTGATTGAAACCGTCATGGGCCGCCAGATTGTGGCGCCAGATACTCCCTACGTGGCCGCAGCCGGCCCCAACGCCCTATACTTCATCGACACCCGGTTCGACCCTGAGACGGCCCAGCATATCAAGCTACAAATTGAGAAGGCCTCCGTGCCGCACCCAGACGAGTACGTCGCCATTGACGAGATTGAGGCCACGGCAGAGTTAAAGAACGGGTTGACCGGCGAAACGACCTTCGTGTTCGATCCCTCCTATGCTCGAGTGCTGTTCGCCAGAGGCATAAACAGGCACAATCCGGACATCAAACTTCCAGAGCATGAGCCGACCGGCGACTGGTTGGTAACCTATGACTTAATGATATCTTGACAATGACAAAGCGCGCCAACATGTTCTGGTACGATTATGGCTGTTATACTGGCCAGGACTGCGTACGCCAGACCCATGGCAACTGTAATGTCTGTCACAAGTATCGGGTGGACAACGAGTGCGACAGTAGGCAGGTGAACGCCATCGGTATATGTCACCCGCTCTGCTCTAAGGCTGTCGACCCCCGAAAGGAAGACGGAGAGATGGACGCAAGTTACTATCAGCGCATGGACAAGTTGCACTGAAGAGCGCAAGAAGATCCACGATAGGCTGCTCAGGGAGATTAGGACATCAAGGCTCTAATGGAGAGCAGAGAATGGGCCAAGTGACTCTCCGGCTTCTTGTTATCTTGTTAGTCATTCGAAGAGATACATATTCAGGAGGGATTTTGTCACACCGCGCCTGCATGATGCACACACGCATTTCCTTTATAGATATGACGAAGAGCCTCATTGTGAAATTCCTTTCTCCGATTGATAGAAGACAAGCTTATCGACAACTTACTTGTATATCTCTCTTGGTAGCAGTCCTTGTTCTCAGGTGCGGTTGTAAAGCCTATTAAAGCCCAAACAATACAGATATAAAAGTTGAACCCCCCTTTTAGGATTAATTAAATTACCTCTGTTTTCGTCTGTTTCTTGTCAAACTCCCTATGGTAATAATATATTAAATTTAATGTTTTATAATCAGTTACTAGTAGTCTCTCTATATCACCTATAAGGATATAGGAAACCGCGTTGGTTTAGAAATTTGGAAATTACAGAGGTTCACTGGAAAATATTGATATTTCCCCCGGAAAACCTGTATATATATCTAGTATCAAAATCTCAATATTCTCCTTTTCGGTTATATCTTAATCGGATTTTGTTCAAAATTAAAAATTAATATGTATAATTATAGTATCCTTTTTATTCTAAATTTCAAGGTTGGGCTTGATACGGTTAGTGGAAGGTCGTAATATAGCGACTATAGAGTTATCCTTGTTAGCGCCTACATGGGTTTTTATGGAGGTCCATTTATGGGCTTTGCGGAGGTTTAAATTCACCCGTCCTTTGATGTGCATGATCAATTGTGTCGCGCGACATTTATCATCATTCTTTCGTCGGAATGAAAAGGCTCTGTTCTCGAGAGCAGTCTTCTAGTCAGGTAGATTGTCACAAGCGCCTACTTGCAACTAAAAAGTGTATTTTTCCAGCGTGTCAGAGATAATCGATCGATGCCGATGGTCTCACCTACGGGTCCAAGTTAAGGAAGAGCCGATGCTAAAGGTGGTTCCAGTCAGCCTTGAAGCTTTAATCTTCGTCATAGACAACCCGAAAGAGGGCGAGGTTGCGAGAAAGAAAAATACCGATGAGGCCACACTTCACGCTTTGATATAATTTTTCGTGTATTCGATTGTTGTTATAGTATACAGTGGGATAAATCTTGCTGCGAAAGACTTTTTGTCATATGTCTACAACTACATTGACGCGGACCATATCTTATAGGTGGGAATTTGATTTCCCTACAAATACCGAAAGAGTAGCATGGAACTCTTTCACTTTCATTTCCATCGGCGCACTACGTATATTCATCGTGGTCGACTTTGTGATGACTGTCCTCGACCACCTGAGAGAAAGCGACAAACTTCCCTCTTTCATGACTACTTTCTATGATGAATCCCGTTGGAAAAGGGCTTGCAACACGCAACTCATCCTGAAGTAAACCACATACATCTATGTGCTTGCGCGACTTGGAACCATGGCGCTCGTCCGTGCTTCATTGAGACCCATTTTCGAGGGCTCTTACACTACGGTGGAATGGGTGACATCAATACCACATTTTTGAGGCCAATGCAGGATTTTTGACCACAAATGAGCATCGCATTACATATAGCTGGGAATCTTGTGTATTTAGCAAGGAAATGGGCCACTGGGTTATCATGAATATCGAGTTAGATTACCGTTAGGTTGATCCTGAAGCACCACGTCGCTTTTCCGCTGATTCTCTTATTCTTTTACATTTATCCAGTTCTCATTTTCGCTGGACGCTACACATGTGACCAAAGGGTATAGAGAAAGGGGCATTCCATCCGCTCAGTAGTCAATCTTGGTGCCATTTCAACGCCCTATCCATCAATGCAGCCAAATCTGCCGCGGATTGTAACGAGGACACCAGGTAGGAAGTAAGAAGAAGGAAAGCTGTGTTCTAAAACAGCCGAATATCTGAACTATTTATCGTGATTATAAAGGAGAACAATTGATAAAGTCAAGCGTTGACATCTCGAGCCCAGGAGAAGAGGATACTCTCGTATCTCGGGTGTAAAGTATTCTATATACAGCCGATACAATATGTCCTAGAATTTACACATTGCTGATGAGCTATTAGATATATGGCTTGATTTGTGAGGCAACGATGCCTTTCTATCATGTCAAGAGCAGGGAAGTCAACTCTGCCAGCCCGGGGCATGGCCAGATACCCAAGTCAATTTGGATTATCGACAATCACTCCACCCTGAAAGAAACCACACCTCATGTTGAATCACATCCTTTCTCTATGCATTACCTCACTGAAGCTTTCTGGCCAACCTCTAGGATTGCTTATGCTTTTGAACACACAGGTGAGCTTTTGGTTGACATGAAACATGACTTTATTTTCTTTGTCGCTGGACCTTTCTCTCCACTGAAATCTCGAATGGCGCTTTGGTGTGACACAAAGAAGTGATGAATTCGATACTCCGTTGCGAGTGATGAACACTATGAGCCTCCGAATCCGTCACTCTCAATCCGTTGTGTGTAAAAGTCCTTCGAGTTTCAACGATTGCATCTTCCTTGTGACATTGCATGTTCTTTTATGGGCATTTCTCCATAAGCTATTATTCTCCCCAATGGTTGAGCAGACCACGGGAGTGCGCAGGTATTCTACAGCCCCTAAAATTGCCGAACGAGAAGCTCAAAGCCAACGTTATACCAGACTACAATTATACCCTAGTCATCTGCTCCGCCTTCATTATTCATGCCATTATGCTTTGGGGAGGACTCCCAGTCCCTTAAAACCTTTGGCCCGAGCCTTTTATCTCAGATAGGACTTGGAGATGCATCGAGATGAGACAAAGAGCGTGGGAAAAACACCGGGGCCGGAATTCCAAGAGAATACACTTCTACCTTGAGTCATTTCCATTGACGAGCTGCATAATCAAGATCTCATACTTTATTCTTTTGGCTTCTTTGTTATCAAACACCTGGGGCTGTCTTTGGAAATCCAAAAATAGCACCTTTGGAAATCCATCGATCCGCTCGTTTCTATCTACACAGGCACTCACGGATGACTTCCCATACTTCATAGGTCGCGTCAATTAATAGTGGCTCTTTGTCTCCATATGGTTCGATTCTCCAGCATGTTCACTACAAATATCTCTATCTATACCACCTATCTCGGTGCTTCTCCTTCACTCCAAGCTGCCAGGCCCTCTCTTGCAGTGCCGCATATCCCTTCTTCTTCTTCTTCTTTTTCTTCAAGATGCCACCCCGTCACAACTTGAAGCGGAAAAATCCAGAGTCCCCAGTGGACCCTGAGGAATCTGGGAAGAAGCGTAAAGTGAACAATGGTGAAACGACTGCCAAGGAGGCTTCTCCTTCTCCTTCTTCCTCTGATTTTTCATCAGATGAATCTGAGAATAATTTTCCTGTCGCTCCAGGGGACTATGTTGACTACAGTGTGATGTATCAGGCTGGAGAGGTGGAGACATATTCACGTCCCCCGAGACAGCAGCGGTGGAAACACGATGGCGACGTGCCTATTACCGATTCGGCGCTTGTCCCGGAAGGCTGGAACGCCGATGAACTAGATCTCAATGTTAACGACATTGATGGTCAAATTGAGAGATGTATGGAGAGGATCAGTGACGGAATTTTGCCCGACTTCTTCAAGTTCAGACTGTGACAGTATGAAAAAAGACGAGCTGCTCGCGAAAGGTTGATCCAGTCTGAGCCGGCCGGACTCAGTCTGGACGTCGTTCGACGCTTGGATCATTTGAAGATTATTGAGGCTCATCTCAATACAAATGGGGACCCGGACAATGAAATTCCCAATGTTAAAGCTATCATCAAAGCTTATAGAGCAGGAAAATTGGCGTGGTCAAGAGGATGGGTCAGCTACTGGTCGGAGGGCGTACAGCTCAATGAGCCGCGCAAATTTGACGCTGATTATCATAAGAGACTGGCTGAGACATACGATACCACAAAAGCATGGTGGGTGGAAGGCGTAAGTTTACCACCATATGCAAATATAATCCTTGGCTCTGACTTGAGATCTCATATGTAGCTTCAAGATCCAGCTGGTTCTAATATAGGAGGGTTTCACGCGTTTCCGCCGATAAACGGGGTTCACTCGATTGAGGTATGTTCATACCGACCTCTCAACTGATATGTCACTCTGACTTTCATATCCTGCCTGCTATGTAGTTCCCGGTGGAGCTATCTCCCAATAGTCAAGTCGATGGCTTTAATAGCCTCACCATGTATGTATGCCATGATACTGGTGCAGATATTATGGCGGTACCTCAATACTATTTAGACCAGCTGGAGGCGCTAGGTACCCGCGTTCCAGTTCATGGATATACTGTCATGTCAACCCCTGGTGCAGTGGCATGTCACAAGGTTGTGGAGATTGATGTCCGTGTGAGTGACGGCGCCGGCCAGCCTTTGTCCCATTGGATGAGAGTACAGGCCTGTGCCTTGATTAATCTACCAGGGATCAATGTTGGAATGCTTCTTTCGGGGCCTTTCCTGCGGTTTGCACTCTACACTGCGACATGTCCAGATGGACAGGGAAATCTCTATGTTTGTAACCACAAGAGGGAGCTAAAACGGTTGCCAGCCGTTCCGCATAACTTTGTGCCGAGGGGACCGCCATATGTGGTTACCGCTCCTCCTGCACCAGACGGTGGACCACCACCTTTCTCTGTGATAGCTCAACAGACACATGTATTTACAACGATGCCAGTGCAGCCACCACCACTACAACCACCACAGGCACCGAAGAAAGCAAAAGCGAAGAAAGGGAAGAAGAAGGGGAAGAAAGCAGCGCCTTAGTCTCAAACATCTCATTATCTGTACATCAAGTTGGCGGTTTATATCTCGGTGGTGCTCTTGTTATTTAGATTCTTCTATGGTTGCTCACTCTCTTGGCTTTCACATCAGGCTTGTTCTGGTTTTGATTTTTGATGGTGATTGTCTTGCGTTACATTTTCATTATATATCTGCTCTAAATGACAAACAAAATCTCCCACGCATTCCCGAAAGTCTAGCAAATTCCCTCCCTTTGAACGTTGTCAAGCTCCAGGTTTTGTTGATAACAAGTCCTTCACAATGCTTTCTTTCAAAAACATGCGGCATTCACTTCCTCAAACTAACAAAGCACACAGCCTTGTAGTCAGCCGGCCTTCGCCGCCTTGGGAGGATATGTCTTCCCATCCTTCTCAACTTGAGGTGTACACACACACCAATCGGCTGCGGGAATTGAGTCCATCACGGAGGGAATATGGTTTCCGCAACCCCACCAGGTGACCTTGTCTATAATCATTAGCTGTTGAACTGTGGACAGAGAGATAGAAACTCACTGCAGGTTGAGCAGGTAGCCTTCATACACATGATGAAATTGGATTTGTATATTGGATTTAGAAGATCACTGAGGTGGAAATGCCGGAAGATTTCCGGACTTTATATTCTTTTCCTTCCGATATTAGTCATATCCGTCATAGGCCCCGGGGGGAAGCCCTGAAGTCGCCGATGTCTGAATCCCGAGTCCCCGATATGCAATTTTTTAGGGCGATAGATCTAATTGGACTTTGACAATATGCAAGGAGTTCGTACATATCAATGGATTATACATTCTAAATGTTGTGCCAGTAACAAAAAGAAAATCAAAACCTGCTTAGTGGGGTTATCGCGGGGAATCTTCCCGTCACAATTTCAGCTCCTTCAACTATTTCAACTATTGAACTCTTCTTAACCATGACGATCATCACCCTGGCTGGTGGCACTGGTGGAGTGGGCAAAACTATTGTTGAAAAATTGCTCGAATCTAAATTTGATATTGTCGTTCTATCTCGCAGTGTACGTACATGGTAGAGGCACTTTCCATTCGAGAAAGTACTGACCTCCCTGCTGAGTAGGGAAAACAAGACTCCGCTTCGCAGAATATTCAAAATGTACAGATCAACTATGATGATATTCCATCAATGGTACATGAGCTTGAGCGACACGACGTTCACACCATTATATCCACTATTGGTCTTACTTCCGATGAGACAAGTCAATCTCAGCTGAACTTGATCGAAGCTGCAGAAAAGTCTAGATCAACAAAAAGATTCATCCCCAGTGAATACTCATTCGTCCAAACACCCGAGTATGTGGGCTAGCTCCAGCTATATGCCATTTAATGCTGATACCTAACTATTCAAGGTTACTCCAAATTGACCCTAGTATCCAATACTGGCTTGATGCAGCAGATCGTCTCAAGGCTAGTGGCTTACAATATACCAGAGTAATTCCTGGTTTCTTTATGGACTACTGGGGCATGCCACATGTCCAAACTCACCTGCATCCCTTCACATTTGGTATTGATATAGCTAGCGGAACGGCTGCAATCCCAGGAGACGGGAACAACGTGATTTGTATGACATATACGTACGACATGGCTACTTACCTGGTCAAGGCACTTGACCTCGATGAATGGCCTGAGCTCAGTGTGATAGTCGGAGATGAAGTTACCTATAACCAGGTCCTCGGTATGGCGGAAGAATTCACCGGTAAGAATATCGCGCGTCCTTATTTGGCATGAGCCCGCAACCTAATTAAACAGGCAAAAAATTCAATGTCACATACGATAGTCTGGAGAAAATCATGTCTGGTGATGTCACCGTCCCTCCGCAGCCAGAAGGCATGGAATATTCATCGAACGAGGTCAAAGAGACGACTGCATTGGTGAGCAGACTCACAGTCAACAATGTCTTTCAACTGCCGGGTGATCGTCTCAATACTCGGTTTCCAGAGGTGAAGCCAGTTACGATGAGAAAATTACTACACAGTGCCTGGAACAGAAACAGTGTATAAATATGTCAATAGCAACAAGCTCGATAACTTTGATTCAATGAATGACAATCTGTAATAACAGTGCATACAAAACTCAGAAGTCGGAAATTAACCTCCCATTCATTACTTCCATCATATATACTCGAGGATCGAGGGCCTTGGCAATATCAGAGATTTTGCTTCTCGCGTTTTGTAAGGAATTAAAATCCTAGCAATCCAGCCATTATTCCGACTGCCTAGCAGACAGGCCCAGGGCGCTGCACTCCAACACAGACCTGTCGGCCCGGAATGAGATTCGAGCACCACGGATTGATATCGTTGTTCCAGCATAGAAGCTGGCTCATGGTGAACCTATTCTGATTCCGTGCGATAATATCCCAGCAGGTGTCTCCGTTGCTGACGGTATAGAACTCGGTACCTGGTTTTTCATCAGCCTAGCTTTTGCGATGGTGACGTTTCATCCAAGTCAACTCACAGTATTGAGTCAACTGCCAGCCTTGGACGGTGTCGACAGTGGGAGATGTGGTATCGACAGCGGCAGATGTACCAAGAGAAGCAATTCCCAGCACGCAAAGGAAAGATCGAATACCGATGGCAACCATTTTGGAATTGAATTGTAAATGGAACACTTGAACTGGCTGATTCTGTGACGAGAGGCTGGCGATGAAGCTGAGGAGTGTTGGTGGTGGAAAGAAACAAGCTTAAGAAGAGTAATTTGCTGAACTTATATGTGAGAGTTACTGAGCCATCCAGTGCAGAAGTTAGAATGTTTGGAGTGACTGTTTGCCTTGTCAGACAAGTTCATACGACATAGGAAACACCGCAAGACATTGGTGAGCGCATACAATTCAGCCACATGTTGCATCCATGGCCTTTCATTGCAACCATATCTGCTTTTTGATACTAAGGTGTCTGAGACAATATGAAGGGCAAACTCACGACATGCTCAAAATCAGCCAATGGACTCAATAAGCTGGTTCTCGCCATAGCTTCGTTTCTCGTTATTAGTCGATATTTGTCTCGGCTCGACCGATATAAGTCCTTTCTGTTTTACGGTTACATTGCCGTTGGATATAGTTCCTAAACAGCGAGTAACCTTGGTCAGGGAGGCCCAGTCAGTCATGCAGACAATAGTGTGACAATGGCCTGAACCACAACCACTCACCAGAGGTACAGCAAAGGTAGCGCAAACAAATACCAAGACATAGCTGAATTGTGTGACAATATTCCAATCGTTGTGGTAAATGAGCCACAACCACTCCATAAGCGACGCATTTAGGCTTGATTACGGTTGGCGGCTATTTGCTGTGACTAGATTGGGTTGTTATACAGAGTAGCATCCGCTGTCGCATCGCGATGGCTTTGGGTGGATAAACATTGAGGATATATGATCCTATTAGAACATTCAGTGAAGAGGTTCAAACTATGGAAATGTTTCGTGAGCTCGAACTATTGCTGAGACACAAAGATCAAAGTACACCCACGCAGCACATGTCAAGGGAGTACAATGATCATTGATCACCTAACTTGAATCAAATGATCTATTTTATGCTATTGATGGTCTGATGAGTTGTAAGAGAGTTATAACTACTCTGGTCTGATCTAGTACGGTGATATTATGGCTCTTGCTCTTGTTCTTTGGTTCACATACTATACGCCACTGGTTTTCATTCAGAACTGCTATTCAAAATTTACAGATATACTCCAAAGCCGGGGAGCCAGAAGGAGGAGGTTTAGTTTCGTAACTCAATAGAGATTCTATTTAGCCATGTCGAGAAAGTTCTAGAGTGTAAACCTTCCAGAATGCCAAGATGAATGTTCTAGACCACTTCTTCGGCAGGCGGTTGATCCTCCCCGATGGATATCCTACGATGAACATACGTCGTGAGAGCTGTCAATCACGCAAAATACGAGAATTACAGTCCATGACTCGGAACTGACTATCTAGAGGAAGTGTCGAATCTAATTGAACTGTCTGCATATTGTTGGCCTGAGGCAATAAGGATGACTCATAATTCATGCCTTAACGCCTTAATTGCTGGAATCTCCGCGGGAAACCTCATGTGGTCTCAACCTACAATTCTTAATCATGATGATTGGAGCCGCGTAGGGATAGCAGTTTTGAAAGAAAAGCTCTGGTATTACTCTACAAATCATTTGTATCATGGATGGGCACACCAGCAATGCTGTACGCCTCGCCAAGGTATCGACTGGCTCCCCACATGACTCCCATGGCTCTCATATACTGGGGGAAGGGCTGTAATTGGATGCTGACATGCATACGCTATAAAGGCATGCAGTACATGCAGACGGAAGAAGGTCAAATGTGATGGGAGTCGACCAATCTGTGTCCCCTGCAAAACATTCGACTTGCCCTGCAAGTACGAAGATACCGTGCGACGCAAGAAAAAGCACAATCGGTATGTTCTACTTGGCTCATGGGCTCTTCTTAAGTTAACGCATATTCACTTACTCACTCACTCACTCGCAGCCATGAGCATTTTCAGGAGCTGGAACAGCGGATTGAAACTCTTCAAGACGAATTGAATGAAGCCCATGCGGCCAAGAGACGACGATTGCCAAGTAATGAGGACACAGGCCCAGAGCACGTTGAACCCTCAGGATTTTCCGATCCAGGGCTACAATATCCGACAAATGACGCCGCTCATGCACCTTTCGAGGCCGAGGCCGACCCCGATCGAGGCGATGGCGACGGAGGGTCATATACCCTTAAAACTCCGAAAGGCGCAATGCGCTTTTTTGGTGAGTATTGGCCCACCGAGCATCGTTCCTCAATGGTCACACGAATGGCTGAACTGATTCTACCGACCACGCCCAGGTGCATCCTCTCAATTTTCGATCGTTTCCCCTGAGGGTGTTGGCTGGCTTGAAAGCAAGACGGGTAATAATTTGTGGCGCCATACCGCCCAAAGAAACAGCAGTCGATGGAGGCTAGCCGACTGGTATCCTCGAGCCCTTCAAGATGACTTTCAAAGCAGATGCTCGCAGCCCTTACCATCAAAGGCGGTTATCCTAGATCTTGTCCATGAATATTTTGACACTTTCAACAAGGCTATACCGCTCTTCGGGCCCGAAAGTTTCATGAAAATGGTCAGCAGACACTTCTCATGGAATCCTAACGAAAGCCCCTCGTGGTGGGCTGCTTTCAATATTGTCCTTGCCTTTGCATATATGCAAAGAGCAGACAGTTCCGGTGCCAGCAGCGATGACTGGCAAAAATGTTTGGGTCATGTCAAAAACGCAATGAACGTGGTCACAGAGCTATTCATGCGAACCTGCGATCTCCTCGCTGTTCAGGCGCTTCTTGGACTCGCAATATTCTTCCAAGGCACGCCAAACCCCCAGCCTCTGTTCATGTTTGCCGCTGCAGCTGTACGTCTGTCGCAATCTATCGGGTTGCACAAGTCCAACTCCTTTGGTCTCCCAATGTCCCAGGTGGAAGAGCGGAGAAGAGTCTTCTGGATTGCGTTCATTTTGGACGCCGACATCTGCCAACGGACTGGCCGCCCTGCTGCGCAGGATACCCGTGATTATAATACTTTACTGCCTCATGTGAACCCATCAGATAGTTTAGGTGTGGTTGAGATCGGAAACGCCAAAATCAATTTCTTTTTGGCACTAGCCCGATTTGCTGTGATTCAACGGAAGGTCTATGATCAGCTGTATAGCACCGATGCATTCAACAAAACCAACGAACAGTTGATGAAAGATGCGAGGGGTTGCTCTGACGATCTTGAAGCATGGAAGCGAAGTATCCCACTGATGCTCCGGCCCCGAAGAAAATTTTCGACCGGCCACCATATCTTCCTACCGCACATCCTCAGACTTCACTTTGCGTACCATTGTTGCCATCTCAATATCCACCGGGTCTGTCTACTTCCACGGCGCTGGTCGACCAGCCCACAGAATGAGGGTCTTAGTCCCTCGGGTCTGTTGAATGACCGAGAGAGATCAGTGCAACAATCAATAGAAGCCGCACGAGCGGCGATTGAACTAATCAGTCAAGTTCAAGGCCACTATGGCCAATCCTTCGAATGGTAAGCTCATCTGATGTGTTGAACTTTTACCAGCTCCTAATATATCAAACAGGAGCGTTGTTTACTTCTCCGGGGCAGCTTTGGTTGCATTGTTCTCCCACATTCTCATTGATCCTTCGCGTCCTGACATAGAATCGGATATTGTTATGATTCATGGGGTTGTTGATTTTATATCAAAGGTCGCATCCCAGGAACAAGATACATACCTAGACTATGTATTGGCACTGTGCTCTGAGTTCGAAAGTGCAGCCAGAGAACAGTTACATCGGGCCAGAAATCCGGAGGCAAACCCCATGGGTGATAATCAACAAGTTGCCATTCACCCGCAAGGGCGAACGTGGACACAGAATGGCTATTTGCCCTCGAACTCTTTCCCGGCTTTTGTCAATCATCCCCAGCGGACTGAAAATGACGGTAGCAACGCTCCACCCTCAAGTGTAATGTCTACAGACCAAGGTTTCTATACTACAGGGCTATCGCCGTTGCCCGTTCCTCTTTCTTGGAACTGGCAAGACATGCTAGCAGGTGTGCCTCCGGCGTATGATTTTGGGGGATGTGATTTAGCTGGAAACACTGGAGAGTTGTGAATTTGAACAATATTGCCATGAAGACTTATCGTATATACTAATATGTCAACTCTGAAAGCCCCCCTGCAACGTGACCATGCCAGGTGATGCTTTGATCATGATGGCAATTCGGAACTGGAGGGTTCTTCCAAATTGGACTTGCTTCCTTGTCATCTAGTCTAGCCACGGGCCTCAAGATATCCATTCGTCCCCATGGGCTATCTTCAAAACTCATCATGAATGGAGAGTCTTGTGCAAGATACTCCGGGAAAACCCGTTTCCACCCGTCAATTACCTGGATCATAATTTCTGAGACGAACTGATCCGGGGATGAACGTGCAAAGGCGAACTCATCCATAGTTCTTTGTGCCACTTCGACGGGATACAGGCCAACTTCCGGGTCCATCAGAATCGCGTCCGCCGCCACAAGCGAGCTTACAACATGATATGAGCCTCCCTTTTGGGCCCTATCTCGAATAGCCAGCATTGTCGCCAGAGCACCGACAACGCCAGTAGCCATGTCAGAGATAGGCAGCGGCGGAAGAACACTCGTTCCTTCATCGAATCCAAGCGACCGACCCATCACGTACGAAGCACCGGATGCAGCATCCCCGATTTGCTGCCAACCGGGTCTCTCGGCGAATGGTCCAGATGGACCGTAGCAGTTTTCATCCACGTAAACAATGCCCTTGTTTCTTCTGGCTGCCACATCCAGCATGCTTTGCAGACCGAGTCCTTTGCGGTCTAGTGACCCATACCGGAAGCCCTGGATAAACACGTCTGCATCGCCCACAAGCTCCTTGAGTCGGGCCATTTCCTCCTCTTTTCCAATATCTAGATCGATTGTGCGTTTTCCGGCGTTGAGCGTTAATTGGAGGACCTGTCAGACACGGTTAATTATTAGACTCAAGACAAGAAAGTCCATTTTACTCACATTCAAATCTGCCAATCTACTACAATTCACACGGATGACATCCGCACCAAACGATGCAAGAATCACCCCAATTGTGGGACCAGCGATAATCCGCACCATTTCCACAACCTTGATCCCAGCCAAAGGCCGACGATCAGGAATTTGACTCAAGGGGATCAACGGTGTCGGTTTTGCATACGATTCATGCGTATAATTCACAAGAGGGTATTCCGCAAGCCGTTTCCCCATTTCAGTTTTCCTCCAGCCTTCAGGTGAGTAACAGATGCTGCCACATAATCCATGTCTCACATTATGCATCTCAAGCTCATCAGGACCCCATTTCTGCACATGTTCCCGAATATACTCATAACCCTCCCGAAAAGATTTCAGTGGCACATCCATATCGATCCCCATCGAGCAGAGTGTCTTGCTTGCATCCAGCGATCCATGGAGTTGATACCACACCCCGGCATCCTTTGTCGGATACAGTGCAGTGGCTCTGCCAGCTAACGGACCGACCCCAAACCCCTTCTCAAAGTCTTTGTCAAAGATGTTGGGAAGTTCGCGGGCGCGTGCAAGAGTCGAAATGTCTTTACCATTTACGAATGGTGTGAATGTGAATGCAAGCCAGATGCCAGCATGGTCTGTGTTTACAGTCACACTGGCTTCCTTTGCCGGCTTGCCATCCCGCAGCTCCAGAAGTTCGTTTCCAACAAGCCCGCACATGGCATGCAGAGCTGCTGCCACGACGGGGGACTTCATCGGACCCGGGACCATAGGGTCTGGCCGGCCTTCGAAATGGACAGTATCCCATAGTGCAGTGTCTTTTGTGAAACCGGGCGTTCGTGAGGCCAGCAGTTCGAAAATTCGACGGGCATCTTCCGGTACAGGGCGAACGACCTTGTCGGTGTAGGTTCCGGGTCCGTAGATATCGTTTGCAGGGATAGTCTCGTGCATGGCTAAAAGGTACAAAATAACACAAGAGGCAAAGAGACGATTGTGATTTTTATGCGAATCCCTCGAAATACGATGCCGATACTATTTATATTATTGCAAAAAGGCCCCTCAGCCTCAATAGGTGCGAACACAACTATTTTTTATTTATTTTTTGGACATTCCAACCTTGCCAACATTCAATAATTCATATCACTGGTCCAATAAATCGTGAATGTTCCCAATCTTGCATAGATGTGATTCCCCGGCACAAAAACGCCACGGGAAACAATACTTCAGATCAGCCGCAATAAACGAGACTATGAAGGCTTAGATTGGCTCGGATCAAGACTACTTTCGTGTGATTGGCTTCATCAGTACGAGCAACCTAAGTGTGCCACCTCTGCTCTGGTTATGACGAGGCCGGATCCCTGTACATCAGGTAGGGGGGCTAATGATCTACGGCCCACGGTGTGATTTCAAGAATTCCCCGTGGGTTTTCCTTTTACCGCGGTATTCTTCTCTCCGAGGGGTTTGGGGATAACTCTTCGAATTCGAACATACTAATAGGATTGGATTTCATTTGATTGAAGAATTTGGAAATATCAGCTAAGAAGCAACAATACTTTTCTAAAAAAAAAAAAACCTTACTCCGTCCAACCTACAATGTCTTTCAGTCCCAATGAAAATCGGCCCGTCAGAGTCGCTAATTGTTCTGGCTATCATGGTATGGAGAACATTTAGATTAAACATACTGTACTAATGAGAAAGAAAAAAAGGTGATCCCGCGTATGAGATGTATCGCCAAGCGACTCTAGGAGATGTCGACTTTATCACAGGAGATTACCTGGCGGGTATGTTGCTTGGCAGTACGAACTAACGAGACACTAAGAACTAACTGAGCTGAGAGGTCAACATGGCAAATAATGCACAGGCGTTCCAGCGTGGCGAGCATCCTGGGTACGAGCAGACAGCCTGGGATGGTATCCAGCAGACCATCGATGTGATCGCCAAAAAGGGCATCAAAGTCGTACTCAATGGAGGAGCTCTCAATCCTAAAGGGCTAGCTCTGAAAGTACACGAACTCGTCAGTGCAGCTTTTCCTTAACTACAAGAACCTATGTTCTAACTCGTAACAGATCCACCAAAAAGGCCTCGCTTTGCGAGTAGCCTATATATCAGGAGATGACCTCTATACTAAATTCGGCCCTAACATGCCGCAATCCGTAGAACAACTCCAACACCTCGACGCCGAAAACAAATCCGTCAAGCCTAGCCCTCTCACCTATTCATTCACCAATACCACCAAGCCCGTCCCCATGGTCTCAGCACACGCATACCTTGGTGCCCGGGGTATCGTGGACGGACTCCGTCGGGGGCCGATATCATTATTTGCGGTCGGGTGGCAGACGCTAGTCCGGTCATTGCAGCGGCGTGGTACTGGCACTCCTGGTCGGAGTCGGACTATGACCGTTTGGCTGGGTCCCTGGTGGCAGGACACCTTATTGAGTGTTCGGCTTATGTTACTGGCGGCAATTTTTGTGGCTTCGATCGGCACCCGATCGATATTTTTGTTGAACCAGGGTTCCCCATTGCGGAAATTGATGCCGATGGATCGTGTGTTGTGGTGAAACATCCTGGCACCGGTGGTATTGTTGATGTTGATACGGTTCGGTGTCAACTTTTATATGAACTTCAAGGAAATGTTTACTTGAATAGTGATGTCAGTGCTATTCTGGATGATATTGTCGTTGAGCAAGCTGGAAAGGATAGGTACGTGTTTTGTATTATTCGCTATGTTGACTGGTTACTGAAACGTCTAGGGTGTACGTTCATGGTATACGAGGCTATGCTCCTCCTCCAACAACTAAGCTGGCTGTGTTCTATCCTGGTGGCTTCGAGGCCCAGATCTTGCTGAATGCCACTGGATATGCGACTAGTAAAAAGTGGGATCTGATTGAAAAACAACTCCGTCATTTCATTGAGAAAGAATCCATTGATCAGATTGACACACTTGAGTTCCAGAGGTAACAATCTCATATTTTAGTGTGAAACAGTATTGACGTGTGGATATCTAGAATTGGTGTCCCTGCCCCAAATCCAAGCTCACAGCGCCAAAGCACCACATACCTACGGATCTTTATTGCTGCAGTCAATGCCGATGCCGTTCTCGCCGTTGGAAGAGCAATAAAAGATATCTCCTTGAAGCATTTCTCAGGTGCGAACGAATATCTGCCACCATGCTCCGAGCTGACTAGACATACCTAGGATTCCACTCCTCTCTCGACATGCGCACGGCAGTTCCACGCCCATTCCTAGCCTACTATCCCGCCATAGTCAAGCAGGATGATCTGAACGAGGAGATCAACTTTATCGATGGACCCGATTCTATCATCTCGTTTCCAACAGGCCATCCACCAGCGTATGAAGCTCTGCAGCCACGCGCAAGCTATAATCATAGACTTTCTAGTGAGGAATCTGCCCTTCTTCGGTCTTCAACTCGATCAATTCGACTAGGAGACATTGCTCTTGCCCGATCTGGTGACAAAGGATCTAACCTCAACTTTGGAATTTTTGTCCCTGATGCTACTCACTGGCCTTGGTTGAGGTCCTATATGAGCGTGGAGAGATTGCGAGAGATGTTAGCTGACGATGATGACTGGGATGGGTCGTTCTTGGTCGAGAGAGTGGAATTCCCGTACATTCATGCTGTGCACTTTGTGATCTATGGAATTCTTGGTCGGGGTGTTAGCAGTTCGAGTCGATTAGATGGTTTTGGCAAGGGATTCGCGGATTATGTGCGCGATAAGATTGTTGAGGTTCCAGTCGAAATTTTGAACTGAGTTTGTATTGATATGCGGGAAATGTGATGAGACTATTCATGAGCAAGATGCAGAAATTCGATCTTGAGGTCTATGGTACACATATTGGGTATGCTTCAAATACTTAGACCAATGGGCAATGCACATATCGCATGAAACATCAAATGCTGGACCATGTACTATCTCGTTCATGAGACTGCCAGCACAGCAACAGCCCAGGGTTCCATGCTGATTGAATAATTTCCTTGCCCATTGAAGACGCTGGTGGTGACAGTTTGAATTTGAACATTATAAGGCGTGTCGCCCTGGTACTTTGGGCCAGCAAGTATCTCTATCTTACCACTTTTGGTCCCCGGTATACTCACTTTCACGTTCTGGTGTTTGGGGCCATAATTTGCCAGTTTCAAGTAGTATTGTGGGCCTGTCTTCGAAGCCACCCAATAGAGAGGCCCAAATCCTGCTGATGAGTGAACAGGAAGAATGGTATCACCCTTATTGGATGCGAACATCTTTTGAACAAAATATGAGACCGAAGGTGTGACAGAATCGGGAGCCGAATTGAAACCATATAGGGTGGGCTATGAGTAAAAAAAGCGAGGTCAGCTATATTCCCGGTGTTCTTTTAGCATATTGATAGATATTCTTACCGACCAAGAAACAAAATCAAAGTGTTGCATCAAGGGTGCATAAGCTACCATCTTAACAATGTCACTGTTGCGCTCCATTCCGATCATGTACACGGCCTCACTGCAGCTGCCCTGCATGTACGGCCAGTATGTCCCTGTCTCTTCTGTAGTATTGCGACATCCAAACTCACCAATCATCACTGATTGGTTGCGCGGCTGGTTATCAAACTGGTCGAATAGTTTGACAAAGTCGTCTGGTGCTCGGTACAGATGCAGGTCAATGATGACATCTTTGGGAAGCGGAGATGGTAGACACGAATAGTTCCCATGAGAGGCAACAAACGTGATGTTCGGGTACTTGTCATGGATAGCCTTATATATCTGATTGAAACGATCCGGATAGGTGTCACAGCCTCCAGTGAGGTCATCTTCGTTGCCAATCTCGATAAGGTCAACCTTCCATGGATCTTTCCGGCCATTCTGGGCTCGCATTTTGCCATAATGTGTCGAGGAGTTGCCAAAAAGGTATTCCATCTCATTCATGATATCTTCGATAAAAGGTTCGAGGTCCGGGCCGGAGAGAATGTCTCCATAGGACTTGCCTGACCACACGGCCAGGAGTGGCGCCATGTTCATGTCTTCACACCACCACAGATACTCATCCAGGCCAAGGGCATCTGTGTTGGGGTAAAACCAGTCACTTTCTCTTCCTGGACGGTGAACCACTGGTCCGATCGTGGTGTTCCATTTCCAGCGACTGTCCACCTCCAAGCCTTCGAGGTTGTTCCCACCCGGAAACCGGAGGAACGCTGGATTGACTTCATCCAGAAACAATGCAAGGTCATCTCGCAGCCCATTTGCTCTTCCTTTGAAAGTAGGAGGAAATAGCTGGATTAGGCCAAAGTTTAACGAGCTGCCAGCGACTTTTGATCCATCAAATGTCAAATGCCACTCATTATCCCCTTTGGGTGCATAAGTGGTGTTGAACCGAGTTTTGAACTCTGTGAATTTTGAATCCGTACTCTTGACGGTCAAATTGTGATCGGCATATATCGAGCCACTGTGCGACCCAACAAGCTGTAGGTTGATAGTTCCCGAGTAGTTGCCCATCATCCAGAATGAACTGTTGTATGTGGCACCCGTAATTGGGATTCCGTTATAACCGGTATTGGCGAAGCCAACATAGTCTGTGACCCCATCTGGTACTGCAACATTGAGCGAGGAGGTAATTGCTTTGCTGACGGGCTTTGAGTCATCTTGGGAGATTATGGCATCTCCCACCGGAGCGTAGGCAGTCAAACCGAGACTAGTTCCTTGGAATCCATTGTTCTGCAGCAGTTGTCCGTGAATTCCACCATCACCTTGAGATAATCAGTAACGCTCGTGATTGAAAAATTGGAATGACCTACCAGAATGATCCATTTCCTAATGATATCAAATGTTAGCGACGCAGTTACTTGCGCATTGAGGTAGCTTGTTGCTCACCTCGAACATAACCCCATAGAGAATCGGACTCGACTTATTACCACCCTCCGTTGCAACTTTCAGGCTAACTGGAACAGTTGAACTATTGTTTTGAGCCAGTGCACCTGCTAGAAAGGTAGCCAAAACAATAGAGGTCCTGAGGCCTGCGCATGTCCAAGATTCAGACTTCATGACGAGCCAGAACCTATGGACAAAGTTGTCTGTGGTGAGCAGTTTGGAATAGATGAAGAAAGCTTACAAAAGACCATGCTGAGAAAAGTTGATCTTTTCGAAAAGGTTCGAAAAAGCCCTGCCCCTGTCTTGGACAAAGTAAATTGCATGGGCATGGCGTATGATTCGTTCGCCTTGAACCTGGCCTGCCGGGTGTTCTCCACAGAGGCATCATGGACCCTGATATAAAGACCGCATGCAAATTATCTTGTCTGGGGCAGGTCATCAAATCCTGGATCTGCCGACATGCCGCCATGCAGGGAGTGCCTCCAATCACGACGAGCATTCTTAGGATATTGCCAGTGGATGATACTCTGAATTAACTTGCACATCTAACTCTTGCTTTAATCTTATCTCACACGTTCTTTATTAGGGCGTATTTCAAATTGATAGTTGAGGGGAGTCATGACGTCGGACACTTCCAAGGTCGTTTTTCATTCAGGTCGGAATCTCAGGCCGAGGAAGTAATCACATCATAGCCAAGCCCCTGAGCGTCGGTGATTTGCAAAAGTAGAAGGGATACTGATATCGAAATTCAATCGATATTTCTTGGGTTCATAACGTTGCACGATGTATGATATTGTGCTGAGACAGTAGATGTACCATACAAGTCTCCAACTGATTCACACCTTGAAAATCAGGCAGAAAAGTAGTCTTCCACATGTAGCAACTTGGCTCCGTTTGCCTCTTAATCCTCTCACTTCTGACAATGATAAAAATGACGGTCAACAAAGGAGCTGAAAGAGGCTGTCTGGATATAAAGGCGGTGTCTGACCTGCCACCCCACATGTCATGTTTCCAAATCGGGACTAGCTTTCTTCTCTCTCTACCTTAGATAGTTATCCATCTAGCCCTGCATTTTTCATCAATATCTTCATCCCGCTTGGAGCTTTGGAGTTTGAAGATGAAGTACATTGTGGTATCTGGAGGTGAGTCTAACAATGATGGGAAGCTCTGCTATTACCCCGTGGAGAAGAGCGGGGCTCCATCTTTAGCGTTTCGAGGTATACGAGACTGATATGACTAGGCGTCATCTCTGGGGCAGGAAAAGGCATTGTCGCTTCAAGTGCAGGTCTGCTACTGCAAAGCAAAGGGTTGATCGTCACCGCCATCAAGATAGACCCCTATATCAATGTCGATGCGGGGACTATGAGCCCACTCCAGTAAGCCCTGACGATCTAATACAGCTTCTGCGGGTCCATCTACTGATTGACCTAGCCATGGAGAGATCTATGTGACAGATGATGGGGGTGAAATAAATCTTGATATCGGGAGCTTCGAGCGTTATCTTTCCATCACTCTCCAACGTGATCATAACATCACGACTGGGAAGATCTATCTAGACATCATTTCTAGGGAGCGGGTCGGTGATTATCTAGGCAAAACTGTCCAGGTGGTGCCTCATGTCACCAACGCCATTCAAGAATGTATCGAACGGACCGCAAAGATACCTGTGGACGAGTCCCAGGCCGAGCCGGATGTCTGTATTATCGAACTAGGCGGTACCGTGGGCGATATCGAAAACTCACCCTTTATCTATGCTCTCGCTCAACTTCGAAAGAGGGTTGGCAAAGAGAATTTTGTTCAAATTCACGTAGCTTATGTCCCTGTCTTGCCGTAAGCCCTTCTTGTTTCAAGCGATGAAACACGGCTGTAAGCTAACATCGCGCTAGGCCAGGACCATCTGGGGAGCAAAAGACAAAGCCAACTCAAAGATCTATTTCCGACGTGCGCAGCGCTGGATTGAACCCACTTCTCGTATGTTACGCTGTCACTCTGCCTGAGATATCGTGCACTTCGAGCTAATTGATGAAGGTTGCATGCCGCTGCGAAGTGCCATTAGAGCCCGCTACTATTGAGAAAATTGCCAATATGTGCTCAATGGAACCGGAGCAGGTCATTTCCGTACACGATGGGTCGACCATTTATCACGTACCGCTCCTTCTCGAGAAACAGAATCTTCTCGGCAAGCTCTGCGAGTACCTCAAACTTCCTTTCGATCGAATACCCAGTCGTCATATAGAACAATGCAAGCACGTGTGGAATGACTGGGTTCATCTCATTCAAAGCCAACACACTATCATCGACACAGTCTCGATCGCCATTGTGGGAAAGTACACGTCCAATAAAGATGCCTACCTCAGTGTTTCCAAGTCAATCGAGCACGCGGCCATGTACTGTCACAAGAAAGTCAAGATTATATGGATTGACGCGGCACATCTCGAGGAGGAGACCTATCAAGACTCCCCAGTCAGATATCACAAAGCCTGGCAAGATCTCTGTAGCGTCAAGGGCATTGTCGTGCCTAGTGGCTCTGGTACCCGCGCCACTGGTGGTATAATCAAAGCGATCACATGGGCACGAAGTAAGAAAAAGCCATTCCTAGGCGTATGCCTTGGGATGCAACTCGCAGTGGTCGAATATGCCCGCTATGTCATGGGTATCCCGGACGCTGGGAGCCAAGAGCTCCACCCGGAATCCAAGAACCATGTAATTGTTTACATGCCTGAACATAATCAGGAGAATGGCAGGGACACCATGCGTCTTGGAAAGCACCTATGTATCTTCAAGGAGGGTACAGAGTGGTCTAAGCTGCGGTCTTTATATGGCCCCACGACTCTCCAGATTGAGGAACGTCACCGAAACCAGTACGAAATCAACCCGCAAATGGTTGAAGAGCTTGAGAAGGCCGGTCTTGCTGTTATTGGTAAAGATGCCACGCACAAGCGCGTCGAGATTGTGGAGATCCGTGATCATCCCTTTTTTCTCGGTGTGCAATTCTATCCTGAATATTTGAGCCGTGTGTTGCGACCTAGCAAGGTTTTTTTGGGCCTATTTGCTGCTGCTGCCGGGTGTTTGGAAATGATTCCCGCGTCATTGCAACAAGGCCATCGGGGCCTCATGGAAGATCATTAAGAATTTATGAGTGAGCTTTAGAGCTTTGTGCTAGGAAACCATTACGTGGGAAAACAGAACCAACTCGCACAGAGTAAAGCAATAAGCAATAGTATTATGTGATTGATGTTGTTTAGAGAAACTGGTTCTTCCAGAGTCATGTCGTCAATTTATTTTCATACAATGGAAAAGCCCGAAACAAACCTTGCGAAATGAGGAAGCGAGGAAAAGCCAGACAGAATCAGAGCAGGGACAGAGGTGAGGGATGGTCCAAGACAAAACATGGTAGACATTCAGATCTGACACTGAGAATGAAAAGTGGGTGTATAATGCATATGAGTAAGAATAATGTGTACAGAGAATGGAAGACGAATGGGTCGAAGTCAAGAGCGGGTCAAAGACACAGAACGAAAGTGACCTGAATGAGAAAGAAAAGTCACCGAATGAGATCGAAGGTGGTGAGGAAAGACACATGCATGGAGCAAGGCCAAGACAAGCTTTTAGGGTTAATTCGTAGCTCGCTTCCAGAACTTCCAGCCCCCTCTCCGATCATCCGCTCCAACAGCAACACCAACAAGACGCTCAATACCTTCAGGGCCCTCGGCATTCTCAAACTTCTGTTGATCGATCTCCTCGCCACCCTCTTCATCTGAGCCATTGCGTAGAACGGCCGGGTAGAGAACACCAACACCGTCTCCGCCAAGGGTGACTTCATACGTAGTGAAACCCTCTTCGTCGAACTTTTGTTCGAGGTCCTGCTTGACTTCCGCCTTTGCGTTAGGTCGGAGGAGGGTAATCGCACATCCACCGCCACCTGCACCGGTCAGCTTTGTCCAGCCGATGTCGGCGTAATCGACAAGTTCTCGGATCCGTTCGAGACGGGGGTGAGAGACGCCGAGGGAAACAAGAAATCCATGGTTTATACGAATTAGGGTGCCGAAGTGGGCAAGGGTTTCATCGGAGATACCCTCAAAGGTAGGGTCCTCGATCAAACGTTGTGCAGAGCATGTCACTTGGTCGATACCGTTAAGAATTGACTCGGTCACAATAGAATGAGCCTCTCTCAGAGCCCCAACTTTGTCGACTTCTGTCTTTGTGGAACGCGATTGTCGGGTGTTAACAAGTAGGAGAGGGAGTTCAGGGAAAGTAGGCAGCGAAATGACCGTTGGAGGCTTTGAGTAATCGTCGCGCCGGAAAATCACAGCCTTGCCGCCTGCGGCCACCGTGTTGTCCACCCCGCTGGGGTTGCCATGAATGCAGAGCTCTCCGACGAATGCCCAGCGGTTTATACGCTCGATTTGTGTCTCCGCCTCTTCCGGTGGCTGGTCTGGGTGTGGCCCGGCGAGTGTACGGATTTGTAGAAGTAGTGCAGAACTTATGCAGACACAGACACTAGCACTACTACCTAGGCCCGCTCCAGTAGGGATTGTGGATCGAAGGGTGTAGATAGCGCCTGGGCTTTCCGGGGAGCCTAGGGAGAGGAACAGATATAGGAACGAGGATGCGGAGCGAACATGGATGCCGCGCTGCTCCTCTGGGAGATCCTTGGATACATCCTGAAGGTGTGGTTCGATTGCGTCGACAAGTTCGGGGTCGAGTTCGGTGACAAGGCTGTAGTAGAACTTCTTTTTTGAGGGTTCGCGGAACTTGTCCCAGGGTAAGGTATCAATATTCCAAGTATGACTAAGACCCAAGTCCCGGAAGTTCAACGTTATCGTGCGCTGTGATTTGGAGAGAGTAGTGACAAGAAGGTAGGAGCGAAGAGAGATAGCGGCGGCCATGGCAGCCTTGCCGTGGACCACAGCATGTTCGCCAAAGACGATAACCTTGCCCGGTGCGGACACCATAAATGTAGGCGCCATAGGTGAAGAGGCCTTGCGGGTCATTATCGGCCGCTTTTGTTCCCTCGCTTGTGTTTCTGCGGAGGAGACGGAGGCGCTGTCGGAGTCGTCCATAACACAGGTTCCGTTCACACCCTTTGGGTGGATAGGGAGAACTTTGACCGTTTCGGGGTGGAAGTCGACCGTACGACGTGAGACGAGATTTGTGGCACTCATACCGTTCAATGGGTGTGTTGGATTCTCGGTGAGATGGATTGAAAGGGGGAAGGGGGTGGAAAGAGAGGATTGGGAGCGCAAGGGGGCGAAATTAGGAAAAATTAATAGGGTAGCAATACGGAGTAAAGAAAAACAAAAGAATAGCGGAATAGCCTAGCCAGATACCCAATATGGCCCAAGATCTGAGATTGGCCCTGAAGTTGGAGTAAAAAGATGGGGGAAGTGCTCGAGGCTACCGAGTATACCAGGGAACGAGGGAGGAATTGATCCAATCACAATCTCAGGAATACCAATTGGTCATCTGATTATATAGATGCTCTGTCTCTATATATTCTATATCTCATTATGTTATTATGTTATTATATTAGTATATTATGACGTTGCTTGATCGATTTGATCTCTCTTACTAGTCCATCTCCCTCATATTCTCACATCAATGCAGAGATTTTGTGGCGTGCAGTAGCGCCGGGATCGTCTCTATGTCTCTCAAGGGATTTGCGCTACATCTCGAGCTTGGGGGAATCTAAATATGTGACATGGTAGTCAAGTATATCTCCAAAATTTAAGATCCGAAAAACGTTAAATCTAGCGTGGGCTATGTACAATTCTGTATAATTCACTGTCATCAATTCATCACAAATTCATGGTCACGGTCATGCTATTACTGTGCACTAGCAGACACGGGGGCAAGTCGTTCCACAGAACTTCCAGGTCACTCAAGTAAGATGCACTATCCTCGGCCTTGAGCGAAGTCCCCTCCACAGGAGAGGGAAGAGTGGTGAAGATAACGGCAGTATCAACACTTTGCTGGACCATCAACTCATTCAGAATCAAATGCTGTGCTCGGCTGGGAAGATCATTGAAGGACAATGGAACCGATGCTACACCAGGGTATCCGGTTGCATGCGCATGTAAACTGCTATGGGTACCGGGGGAGGTGGGAGACACGGCAGATGGGCGACGAGCGTAGATAGAATCTAGCTTGTTGGCAAATCGTGGAGGTGAGTTTTGCGCCGCAAACATGATAGACGGTCCATTGCCCTCCTCAGCCTCGGTGTTCACTTTGGCTTCGGGGATGGGCGAAGAGCTGAACCGATTGCTGGAAGCAGTACGACTGATGGCCGATGGTCGACCTGTAAGTTTGCTTTTCGGGGAGGCATCGTCCCTAGTCTCAATTATGGATGGGATTAGCTGGTTGGATGTTTCCTCTATTTGAGAGCTCACACGCATTGGTGTGCTGGGGGAGTCTGCACTAGGACTGCAATCATCTGTCTCGGATTGACCAAGGAGTCTTGAAGAGCCGGAAACAGGGACAGCCTCATTTTGAGCAATGGCTATGTCCTCTCCGCCGTCCTCTGGGTCCGGATCGCTGGAATACGCCTCTGAGTCACTGTCTTCGCTCTCACTCGTGCTATCAGGGCTATCGTAGTCGACAAACGCGTCTAGCAAGCGATGCGTTTGCATGCCGAGGTTCACTCCTCCTAAAGCCCGGAAGCTGGAGACAGATTGTCTGCGACGAGTGGAATCGATCAATTTTTTCAAGCCAGTCACTCGATGGTGCAAGGGTCTGGCTCCATTGTCTTGGCTCGATGGTCCTTGCCAGGTATATGACCTATCAAGATGTAAACCGTCGCTGGTTCTATCCGAATCCAGCGGGTCTTGATCGACGGCACGGGCTTGTAGGACCCCTTGCCACCATTCCTCTCCCTGTAGAGTAGAATTAACTTTCTCTCGGGCATCAACTGGGACCGAAGTATCACCATTCACGATGATTTGATAGGCCTGGAGGTCACCGCAGGCCAGGCAGAAAACCAAAACTTCGGCTTCAATCCGTAATTTGTCAAGGAGAGCCTCAACTCGTCGTCTTTCATCTTCCACGTCGGTCTCGTACTCCACGAACACCGCAACTCGGATTTGGTACGTCTTCTTCCACGAGGGAACAGTATTGAGAATACAACCCAACTGAAGGATCAAAGTGTATGTGTCAAAATTAGTGGTCAGCACATGTTGCTTGCTTTCACTATCGGCCCCAAGCTCGGCAGACATTTGGATCGGCCACAGATCAATATACTTCTTACTGTGGCGACCACTGGGGTCCGGTAGCTCCAGATCCTCAAATCCCTTGGCTACGGCAACATTAATCCGAAGCTTGAACAACAGATCTTCGAGGATTGTGACATAACTCTTTCCGCTCATGGGCGGATTTCCCGGTCTAGACTCGCAGGCCTCATCGGTTCGCGAGGTCGAATGGGACGAATGGCGTCTAGCCCTCGACTCTCTGCGGCCACTGTTCAAAGATAAAGTTTCAACAAGCGACTGGTCCGATCGGAATTGGTCAATCACAACAATGTTGGGCCGCATGCCACCCAGTCCAGAATTTAGGACAATATTCCGCATACCCCATTCCGCAGCGGGCGAAATGGCAATGTTGACGAAAGCTTTTATCTTAGAATACTCGACAAACTTTGTCCATGCCGTCTGTTGGCGACGTGCTTCGGGAACAGCTGCTGGGAAGTCATCGGTCACAAGAACGTGAGCTAGGACAAAAAGTGACCCTTTCTTCAACGAGTTGCAGAAAGAGACCATTTTATATTGCTTATCGAGATCGCTGGCAAAAAGCAGGATCTGGGGACGCCAAAACTTGACGTGCTCTTGACGCAGGCGAAGCAGGTATTTTCGCACTTGATGATAGATCAAACTTTGACTGACATCTCCCCAAGGCTTAGGCGGCGAGGTATAATGGATCAGCAGGAAGAGAATCACCAGGATGCTTACACACCCCGTAGCGTAAAGACCGTCCACAAAGAACATGCTGATCCCACTGACGAGCGTTCCAGCCGCTGCAGTCTGCCAGTTGAAGTAGTGGAACGACGGACGAAAGTTGGGCGCAGAGCCAATTTTCAAGAGGAAGCACGCGAGATTCGTTACAAGGAAAGTCATCAAGTAAGTCATGGTAACAAAAGATGCGATGCGGTTGATGTCGAAGAGCATTGTGACTTGGGCGAACACGAAGGTCACAATGATGGCATATATGGGATCGTCAGTTTTCTGTGCACCTTGCGCAAAGATCCCTATGCCAGGCAAGAGGCTATCTCGCGCAATAGCTTGAAGAAGTTTAGCTGATCCAATCACACCCATTAGGGCGGAAAAGAAACTGGTTGCAAATTCCCCCAGAAGGATCACACTATCAGAGGCATTGACCTAGACTTGATTAGAGCGTGATCCTAGCTTTACGCTCAAATAAGAACTTACAATTTGTATCACGTTGACGTTGTTATAAAAAGACTCCCGAGTCACCGAGGCCGCCATCGCAAGGATGACAAGCCCATAGGCGACAAAGGTCAAAGCCAACCCCGAGAGTGTACCCTTAGGAATAGCCTTGCTCGGGTTCTTCAAATCACCGGACATACTTGCTCCTCTAATAGCCAATTAGTGAGATGGGGTTGGAAGTCTGCTGTCACCAACTTACGCAAAGATACCCCCTGTGGCAGGAAATAGAATACCAAAGAGATCTTGGAAACTTTCTCGTCCCTTGATTTGGCTTCCTGCAGCTCCCTTGGTTAAATGAGGTTTAAGATTTCCCATCAAAGTTTTCAAGCGAAGTCCCGTGAACTCGACGCCCTGTCGAGGAATTGGGAAAGGCTTCATAAAGACTGCAGAGAGCGGTATGCTGAAGGTTGCCACGAGCAGTATGACCAAAAGCCCGTTACTTGCCCTTGCAAATATGGAGCTTCCTGCCAAGCAGATTCCTGTGCAAAATACCAGTATAATAGTTCCCCAAAGGTACTGCCACCAAAAGCCTTCTTCGAGGAAATTGGCCCAGTCCCCAGACTGCGTCCCAAAGTTCTGAGTAAAGCAATCCACCAAGCCAACTGCATTCATACCGGTATTAAACACGTAGCCAAGATAGAACACAATGCCGATGGATCCACCAAATTCGGGGCCCAGAGATCTAGAAATAAGGTAATAAGCACCACCGCCTCGGACCGTCCCGTTTGTAGCGATTGCGGACAAAGACATTGTTGTCACGAGATTAATGGTGTATGACACAAGTAGCAACCCTTTGATGTATCAGACATGAAATCCTGCTCTTGTAAGGAGGTGTGCTCACCTAATATGCCCAATACACCAGCTTGTCCCAGGATAAATCCAAACCGAAGGAACATAAGAATGCTCAAGACATTCAATGTCGTTGGAACAAAAACACCGGAAAATGTACCAAGCTTCTTGGGCTCATCCACCGATCGGGATCGATGTCCACTCTTGTCCTTCTTATCGGCGCGGGAGTCGCGGAGAGGACCCGCAGACAGGTACACATTTTGTGAACTGGTGTCTCCACTAGTCTCCTGTTCTTGATCATGGTCCGCTCGTTTATGCCACCACCGAAAAAGGCCCCGGAAGTAATGTATGGGTGAGGAATGGCGTTGGTTCTCGCTTTCTTGGGAATTCACGGGCTCGTGCGGACGGTCCGATTGAATCGGTGGCCAAGGTAGCAAGCGAGTACGCTCATTGGGGGTAGCATTGACCGAGTCCTCGGGGTCGAGACGTGAGACATCCTCCTGAGCAGTTCGAGTCGCGAAGGTTGGGCGTCGCCGAGACAAGGAGTCGGAAGATTCTCCGACTCGTTCGGTCGCCATCTCAGTTCCAAAATTTATGGTATGAACATGAGGGCATAAATAACGAAATAATTCAGATACCAGAAGCCAATAGTCCCAGCAAGACCATTGAGTCTACAAAGAGACAGGGCTAGTGAACAGAAAAAGAAAAACAAGCTGTGTATCAATAGATGACGTTGATGGGGGGATGCAAACAGTTTGCATCCCCTATCAACCGCACATGGAGCTGATCGGCCATTGTCGCTTGGCGTTAGTACTAGTGTCTTAAACCCTCCTCATTTACATCTTGAGCTTTTTACCAAAATATTCCTTCGAGAAGCTGACCCTGCACTGTCATTTTATGCGTCCGGCCTTCTTTCCATGCCCATTCCTCGACTCTAAATACGGCACCCTGTCAGGAGCTAACCTGACATCCAGAGGCCACCTTCAAAATGGCTGATAATGGAGAGGGCTCATCCCTAAATCCAGCTCGGTCTATGCCGATAGCCTCGTCCTCGGTGCGCTCGAGATCCCCCGCACCTGAATTCGGTAACAGACAGGCTTCCATAGCACGCCTCGCATCCCCAGTGCCCTCGCCTTCATTGGGAACATCCTTGTCTTCTCGACAGGGTATTCCCGCCAGCCGACCTGTCACAAATATCGCCACTGAGCAGGAGTTTTCCAGGTCGATTGCCAACACATCCTCAGTTCCCGGTCCTGGCCATTCTATCATTGCGTCTCAACTCCAGGAAAGCCTTGGTCGCTCGCCGCCGAGATTTGGAACTCCATCGCGACACAACGGATCCCCTGCGGTGCATTCGACTCTAGATAACCGACCCTTGGCCTCTCAATATGGTTCTTTCGATACCAAAAATGGATCCGACTCTCCGGGCATGGTTCCGTACGAAGACCCTGAAGTTATCAAGCGGCATCTGGTCACAGAACACACAGATAATCAGTCGGAAGTTGCGACTAGCCTTGGTGGTGAGGATAACTTCTCGAGTCTACAACTTCAGGGTGGTGATATCACACGACAAGTATACCGTTGGGCGGAGGATGCCGAAGCCGAAGCCGCGGGGCGGTTCTTGCGCAGCAAGAGTTTCAGCGTCAGCCGACCAAGGCCAGAGGCTGACACAGAAGACATTGACACAATTCGGGTTCCAGGAGGGTTCCGCAGAGATTATCTACGGAGAGCAGCTGGGAGTCCACACCGCGGAAGTGCCCACGGGTCAAATACAGGGGTGCCCCATGGACATGGCGCACCTCAACTTCCGACTACCAGCTTCTTGGAGTTCTTGACCCTCTATGGACACTTTGCTGGAGAGGAATTGGAGGAAGATGACGAAGTGCTAGGGCCGGATGAGTACTTCTCTTCTGATGCTTGGGACGAACCAGAGGAGGGCAGAGAGTCTGGAGAAGATGCAGCGCTATTGCAACCTGAAACCCCGGGTCGGAAGAAGAGAAAGCACAAGCAGCGGTCACCAGCAGGGACAACTACTACAACAGGTGCAGTGCTCCTACTGCTTAAATCCTTTGTGGGTACTGGTATTCTATTCCTGCCTCGAGCGTTCCTAAATGGCGGTATGCTCTTCAGTAGCATGGTGCTCCTGGGTGTCTCCATTCTGAGCTATTACGCCTTCATTCTTCTGGTCAATACTCGCGTGAAGATCGAAGGGTCCTTCGGTGACATTGGTGGTATTCTATATGGCAAGCACATGCGACGCATCATTCTCGGATCTATTGTCCTAAGTCAGATAGGCTTTGTGGCGGCGTACATTGTCTTCGTCTCGCAAAATTTGCAGGCATTCGTGCTAGCTGTCAGCAAGTGCGTGACATTCATTGACATCAAGTACATGGTTTTGTTGCAGCTAGTCATCTTCCTGCCTCTATCTTTGATTCGGGACATCAGTAAACTTGGGTTTACCGCTCTGATCGCTGATGCCTTCATTCTTTTGGGTCTACTATATATCTACTACTACGATATCAGCACTCTGGTTGACCAGGGCGGCATTTCAGACGTTGTTTCTTTCAACCCAGCCACCTGGTCTATGTTCATCGGTACCGCCATCTTCACCTACGAAGGTATCGGTCTCATCATCCCGATTCAAGAATCAATGAAAAAGCCAAACAGATTCCCTGGTGTTCTAGCCGGTGTCATGGTCGTGATCACCTTTATCTTCCTGTCTGCCGGTGCCTTGAGTTACGCAGCTTACGGATCAGCAACAAAGACCGTCATCCTTCTTAATCTTCCCCAGGATGATAAATTTGTCAACGTGGTCCAATTTCTCTACTCGCTTGCCATTCTGCTGAGCACTCCGTTGCAGCTCTTCCCCGCTATCCGTATCATGGAGAACGAGCTGTTCACTCGCAGCGGCAAATACAACCCATATATCAAGTGGAAGAAGAACGGCTTCCGTTTCTTCCTAGTCATGGTCTGTGCCCTTATCGCCTGGTGTGGTGCAAATGATCTTGACAAGTTTGTTTCCCTGGTCGGAAGCTTTGCTTGTGTTCCATTGATTTACGTATACCCGGTATGTCTTTAATCTATATCCTCCTCCTCCTCATCATCATCACAGAGTGTGACTGACTCGCTATATCGGCGTAGCCCCTCCTACACCTGCGCGCTTGTGCTCGCTCCAAACGCCAGGCGATTGCCGACGTATCTCTTGCTGTCTTCGGTGCCATATGCTGCGTCTATACGACGTACCTGACCCTCATGAGCTGGATGGGCCCTGAAGTCCCTCAAAGCCCAGGATACTGTGACTCTCATTGAAGAAATTCTCTCTCTTTTTGTTGCTGTAGATCGGGACGAGCTAGGTCTCGATGCATTCCTTGAACCCTAGGCTGGCATATCTGTCATTGGGTTTTCATATGCTGCTTCCACACATGGATGGAGGGCATAATTGTGATATTCATTCAGAATTTGGTCAAATTGCCAGTATAGTGGACGAAATTTGGGAGGTTAGACCACCCTCTGTATACATATTTTCTTGGTGTGGGAGACTATATACTGGATCATATTTGTGTTTACTTTCTTTAGAAGTTTATCAGATCTGGAATGATTCGAATATTACAGACCCAAGCTATCACCAAATCTCGAATTTGTCACGATCAAAAACAAGTCATATCATAAGAAGAATATGATCCAAGCGCAATAATACAGAGCCTATGTACATTGACCATCAGCGAACCGGCACTAGATCCCAGCCAGCGCCGATGGCTAAGCGTCTTCCTCAAAACCGCAAGTCTACCTCTATATGCCTCCTCTTTTAACCTTGTCCGAGAATCGTCTGGCCTCAAGACGAAACTAGCATACCATATTGTATGGAGGTGCAGTTCTGCGAAGCGAGATAGATGCCTATTAGCCCCAATGAAACCCGAAAAGAAAAAAAATCACAGCGAGATTCTTCTCCGAGACGGTTCCTAGGCACCGGCCTCGGCAGCCGCGCCGCCCTTCGCAGCCTGCTCAGCAAGCTGCTTTTCACGGCCTCCCCACCTACGAAGTAAAAAAGGTTAGTATTCACGGTCACATGATCCTTGTAGATGAGAAAAGACCAAACAAGATCTTATGGGATGGAACTTACTTCCAGTAGTTCATGTAACGGAATCCCTGGGTAGTCTGGGCGCCAAAGTTGGTCAAGTGGCATGCGAAGAGAAGGTAGTTCTTGGGTGTGATGGCAAGGGAGTAGCGCATGAAGGTGGCGGCGTAGACAATAAGAGCACCAGTCATGGGGCCAGAGATGCTGTTGGGATGGAGCTATCAGTACAATTGCTCTGGGACCATTGCAGCCAAGGGAAACGCAGAAGACGAAAGCTGAAGCTACCGTCATTCATCGTATAAAAACGTACATCTCAGCGTCCTTCTGTGTGTCCATAACAGCGGCAATGGGGATACCGAAGTTGGAGACGGGGCCCCAGAAGTCTAAGAAGCGCCATCAACTGTCAGCAATCTGCGCAGTTCATTTTGCTTTGTTGATTTGCGAATATAGAAATTCGAGATAGAAGCGTGTCCTCCTCATCCTCGACGTCGTCTCCAATGCTTATTCTCCTTCGGTCTCATTCACCGTTGGCCGATCTCGGGACGGGAAGTGCTCGGGAAACTGATGTCGATACGTACGGGTTGAGCAAACATAGTCCAGCACCGAGTTGGAGCGGATCTTGGCATTGATTGCCTTGATAGCAGCAGCCATGATGATGTTGCTGGGAGTTATCACAAGGGATTGGGTTCGGGGGAGGTGAGGTCGATATCTGGAGGACGCGGAAGCGCTCGACTCACCGGCGTCGGCCGTGTCACGTGAAGCGCCCTGCTACATCACCTTCATTGGAACCGATGGTTTAAATATCAGTTTATCGTATTATATCGGTGGGCAATAGTTGGTAATCATCAGTGGCTATGGACTATATGGCAACTCTTTGGTTCCATTATTGTTGTGGTTTAAAGGGTGTAATCTAATATCAGTGCGGAGTATATAGTACAGATATATATCAGAATGAAAAACATCCAAACTGAGTATGCATCCCAAATGTACCGCCATGTTATGATCTAATGCGCAGACGAGGACAGACGAAGAAAATTGCCACATGCGGTAAAGAACGAGCGCAACGCTCTTAAACCTAGACCTATCTATATGGGACTGGGAGAGTGGAAGGGGACCCAGTGCGGAGTACTCTCCGTATAACGAGTAGAGATGTAGACAGCATACAAAATAGAAGACCCAACATACATAATTTAACTGGAAGTACGATTCGGGATATTGATCGATATTGAATGAAAAGGCCGCGTGTAAAAGCTAGCATATTTTTTTTGGACTTAATGCGTAATTCAAAGGGATTTCGGTCTTTTTTGGTCCCGTTCCTCGACACGACCTCCATCCATGCGCCGCAACGCCTTACCCAATAGAATTTGGGGGCAATCTAGCCTTTCCGCGTATCATTATCATCGCTGGAAGCCTCGACAATGTTTCTCATTTCACGCTGAGCCGCCCATGTTCCTTTCGGGGTGAAATAAAATCACCGATAATTTAAAGCATAGAATAGTCTTCTGTGCACATTTCTAATTACCTGCCACCAAATCCAGGGGGAGGGTATCCACGCCCCTGACCGGGAGGCTGGAAGCCAGGAGGAGGTTGGAAACCGGCAGCTATGAGAATGAAACATCAGCATGGGAGACGAAGTTGGGTAATTATTGGGCGCAAACTTACGGGGGCCACCCTGAGGAGCAAATCCAGGAGGAGGAGCGAAACCAGCTAGAAAGGAATTAGTTGGGTCCCAGTCGATCTAGGCAAGTCGGAGTACTTACGAGGTCCACCGGGGGGGGCCACCACGTCCAGCGAAGCCTGGAGGAGGGGCCCCGGGGAAACCACCAGGGGGGAATCCAAAACCGCCCGGGGGTGGGGGTCCACCAACACCGGCTGCAGGGCCTCCGAGTCCGATAGGCAGGCCACGGCCAGCGGGCTTGCTGATACCAGGGCCCGCGGCAAGAGTGGCAGCTGCGCCGGGTCCGGCGGTGCCAAGTCGGGCAGAGGGGTCGGCAGGAGGAGGTCCTTCAACAGAGCAAGAGACGACCTGAGTACCGCGCACAATAGTCAGGCCGAGGCTTCGCTTCTCTTCCGCTTCGACCATCGGGGCGTTTGTGGGACCGGCGGTGGGCTTGGACTTCCGCTTGATGCGACGGAATTCCTCCGTATCTGCAAGAACTAGATTCATGTGCTGGAAAGCCGAAAGGTCAGTTGGACGCTCGGTCTCTCAAGCAGTGAGAAATACCTTATCAAATGCAAGCATGGAACCGGTCATTTGACGACCATCGTTCAATGTTACGCGCATCCGGTAGTTAATCTGGAACAGAAATTAGTTACTCCGATCGAGAGCTAATATTAAATTGAGCCAAACTCACCAGGTTTTGCTAAATGAAAGAAGTTAGCGACAGCCATTGACCACATGGGTTTCGGGGGTGCAGATGGGGACGAAACTCACCATCTTGTGGGAAGCCATGTTGGCTAGAGAGCGCGCACGAATGCGACTTGAGAGACCAAAAATAAGAGATCAGTAGATAGAGAGAGTCTTTCTACTGCGTGGGGCAAAGAAAAGGTGTGGGAGATCCTATCGAAGAAGTGAAGCTCAAGCTTGTCAGTTGCTGCCAGTTCTTGATACTGGATTACCTAAAGTATGAGTCAGCCGCTGGGTTGCAAGTTATGCTGCCTCAAGCATAAGGCATTAACAGACTAGAATGAGTAAGCGCCCGAACTAGATTGCTTATCTAAGCATCGATCAGGGCTTCTAAGTCACGTGTATGATCCCACAGTCCACACTTTCTCTTTTTCCGCGATCACTCTTGTCTCCCCAGTCGACAACCACTTCACGCCCAACCGCCGTCATGGTATGTTCAGCTTCCTGCAATTCAAACTACACCTTCCCGATCGACTGTATTGTTTCCCTCTATTCTATTCAATTTGGGCAATAATCAGGAGATCCACGTCTTGCGCGCACCCAATCTTCAATTCTCCTCAAAATATCTGTCCTTCGATTAGATACACTATCCACAATCTGAGACTAACATGATGCAGTCTGCCCAAACCGCTAAGGCCGAGAACCCTTGCCGATCCCTTCGCCTGTCGAAGTTGGTCCTGAACATCTCCGTCGGAGAGTCCGGTGATAGACTCACTCGTGCCGCCAAGGTTCTCGAGCAGCTGTCCGGTCAGACCCCCGTCTACAGCAAGGCCCGTTACACCGTCCGTACCTTCGGTATCCGCCGTAACGAAAAGATCTCCGTCCACGTCACCATCCGCGGTGCCAAGGCCGAGGAGATCCTCGAGCGTGGCCTTAAGGTCAAGGAGTACGAGCTCCGCAAGCGCAACTTCTCCGAGACCGGTAACTTCGGATTCGGTATCAGCGAGCACATCGATCTCGGTATCAAGTACGATCCCGGTATTGGTATCTACGGCATGGACTTCTTCGTCTGCATGTGAGTTTGCACTGGACACTGCATTTTGCGGCGATTCACATCGGATATTAACAAACAATTTAGGGACCGCCCCGGTGCCCGTGTTGCCAAGCGCCGCCGCTGCCAGTCCAAGATTGGTGTCAACCACCGCATCACCACCGCCGAGACCATGCGGTGGTACAAGACCAAGTACGATGGAATTATCCGTTAAGTCTAAGAAGACATAATGGCTGGGTATGGCCTGTGAAGTACGAGGTACTCGACAAGAACCAAAAAAATTATCCCGAGTACTCGAGGAAACAAAATTTGTGGACGGGCACCCCACTGCCAGTCACTGGGCCCCTTTGATCTCCAACATGGTCTTGATTTTGTACTCCGGCAACCAGGATAGGCGTGGGAGAGACATGAATTGATTATTACCCTTTTACTGCTGCTTTTCCCTTTTCACAATGAGGCTTCACGAGAGGTGATGTTTTCCGCATAACCATTGTTGAAAAGGATGGCGGACACTGGGTTTCGACTTGGTGTCTAGCCAAGACTCGCTTGAGCACGCCCCATGGGCTTCGTCAAAGAGTCAGTCCCTTTCTAGCGAGAGCATTCTCGCGATGAATTGGGTACTTTGTTCTGGCCTATCTTGTCTGTCCTTATCCTATCCTTGTAAGTGCCATTTGCCTGGCATAGAAGTAAACCGGTCGTAGCTTGTAGAGTGATGATTTGTCTTTGAATCTGACGACAATGTCCTTGGAATATCAACCTCACGATTCTGAAGGGCCGTAATCCCAAATTGAGCTACAATGGTGCAATTTTGAAGGGCCAAGACTTGGGTCTTGCTACACTGGAGAGTGCTCTAACGGGCCCTCCAGGGTCTATCCATCGTGGAGGGTTATCGCCAAGTACTTCCCAGTCGACGCGACCTTTTTTGAGATGTGTGAATCATTTTGACACCCACTCAATGCTTATATATAAGCATAATTAGTTTTTCATATTCTACCACCTATATTCTCAACTCTGCATTTGCCCTATCCTTCTAGCTGTAGGAATGATAGAGGGAAGAATGATCTAAAATTAAGTTACACTTGAAAAAATACCCAGGGAGACATACAAAAAAACATCTAGGAAGACTATCAAAAAGAATTAATGAGGTCGCATACGCGCTCACCTGTTCATGTTATCTGTGAAGAAACAGACAGGGAAGCTTTGACCTAAAGACTCCAGTAAAGTTGTAAGGGGGGTAGAATGCGGTTGGTCGAAGATGAGTTGGAATTCCCAACAAGATACGCATATATACACAAGTGTCATTTCATTTTCTCATTCTTCTCTTGCCCTAGACATAACTCATGATATAAGAAATTAAGTATCAGCTTTCATATTGCACCCGAAAGAGTGACGAAATGACCCAAAGTTACCCTGATTTCAATATAAACACCTATTGGGACCTAATTTAAATTTTCTGATCCGCCATCTCAATGTTCTCATGACTTGGCTTATGATCACCCGCACCTGTTTCCAAATCCATGGATTTAGCATTGGCAGCTTCATCAACTCCAGCCACGACAGTTTCGAACCGGCGACCACGTTTCTCAGGCCCAACAGCAGTAGTGAACATGATACCAAGAGCAATGATGGCAGTGGCAACCCCCATCACAGGCCCATAGGCCTCAACACGATGGCCGGCTGCACTAGTGATGAATGTGGATTCTGAGATGGCGTTCACAATCTGCGAAGATGGCGAGGAAATCATGTTTCCAATTTGGTATGTTAGACCCGTGAACGAAGAGCGGAATGCCGGGGGTGATAGTTCGTTCAGATGAACGGGGATCACGCCCCATGCTCCCTGAACAAAGAATTGCATGAAAAATCCTGTCACGCTCAGAGACCTCTCGCCTTCTGGGAGGATCCATGCCGGGATGAGTACTCCGGATACAAAGGCGGCGAAAATGATTGCCCGGCGACGACCGAAGAATTGGGACAGGTAACCGATGATCGTTCCACCCACACAGGCTCCTGTCTTCATCAGAATAGAAGCTCGCGAGGCGCTCTCATTATTAAGCTCCTTTGCAGTGAGCATGAATGTGGTGTACGAGTCTTGGGATGTGTGGGAATAGAAGTTGAACTAACGAGGGACAGGTTAGAAAGATATTGATAGGAGCTGGATTATCAGTCACAACTTACCCAGGTCATGAGAATTACACAGTATATGCACATCCGCCACTCCTTGCCCAACATGCTTATTGTTTCGCGCGAAAACTCGCCTGCGGTCATTGTTCGCTTGCCGGATTTCTTGGCTTCAATGAAGGACTGCGATTCGGGGAAGCAGATGCGAATGAAACCAACTGCAATTGAGATACCGGCTGCACAAGACAAAATGTTAGTGCTAGGCAAACTGTGTTCTTTGAGGATAATAGACTCACCTGCAATCCAGAACACGGTCTTCCAACTATCTGTTGCACCGCCAACACCAAGGTTGGCACATGCCGCAAACACATATCCAAGTGAATACCCCTGTTGAAGGATTCCAGACATAAGACCTCTCGCGTTGACACTGTTTTCCAATATGATTAACGAAAGCCACTCAACCCTGGAAGATGATACTCACGGGCAATGTTCCAAAGCCATAGAAATAGCATTTCCATAAACGCCACCCATGAAAAGACCAAAGAGACTTCGCACAGCCAGGAACTGCTGAAACGTCTTACTGTAAATGGTGGCAATTTGCAAGATTCCCAGAATGATCATATTGAACACCATGGGCCATTTACGGCCATATTTATCACCAGCGAGTCCAAAGAAGGCAGCCCCTACACTCCTCAGCAGCAGAGTCAGAGTAATGGCAGTGGTAATATCTGTTTTGGATCTGCCGTAGTAAGTTGCCAGCTTCACTGTCTGGATGGAAAGGGCATGGAAATCAAATGCATCGGCAGTCCAAGCAACGAGTCCCACTATGAAGAACACCCAGTCTCGAAGTGAAAGCTGCGCCATCAGACTGAAAGGGTTCTGGATAGGCTCTGGATCTTGCCATTCTGCATATGTCTCTCCTTGTTCATTGGTCACCTCGACACGCTGCTTCCAGATGAAGAGATCTCCAATGGACTGACGTGCCGTGGCGAACATACCATTCGGAATCGGATCTGCCCTTTCATTGGGAGACGCCATTGTGGCTATCTATCAAGAGAAAGAGTAGAATTACTCGAGAAAAGAATGAGGCAAAGGCTGGAAGATACAAAAAGCCGACAAGAGAGGCAAACTAACAGAATAATCAGACCACTCTGAACAAAGCGGCCCTGAAAATTTGATAGTCGGTTTGATGGGATTCTTCCGGGCAATGTTGGGCAATTCCATTCAAATTTTCACGTTGGCGCTCACCAATTTATAGGCACATACCACGATGGACCCCCGCATCACTATCCCGCATTTTTCTCGTGGTGCGAGCAATAAATCCCGCTGCACCCCAGGATCCCCCGAGTTTCGGACAGGGTAAAATACCAGTCCGCTAATGGGCCAAGCAGATGCCAAGGGCTTGGAAGCCCAGTGCCGCCAATGCGAGGACAGAATATAAGCAACATCCCGCATCACACACTTTAAGGCTGGCTTGGCGTGGGGATGGCCTAGTCCAGAGATCCTTCCGGGCTTGGCTTGACCGAGATAGACAAGCGCCCACAGGCCGGATGGCGCTGTGTGCGTGGTCATTGATCCGTTACGCCGAGAATCTGTAGTTAAATATGGGCCGATATGCATTCCAGTGGCTCCGGTCCGGTATTTGATGTGAATTCATGGCTTAGACTGTCGGAAGAAATTCCTTGGGGGCTCTAGTGGACTGTTGGTATTCGGCTATTTTGTCTTGATGGTGCCCTAGATTGTCTGGAATGGGAAGTTGAATAAATTAATATTGCATACTGAAGCATAGCTGCTGACCTGATGACGTTTGATGAGCTGAGGCGCGCAGTTGTAATGGTTGGCAGAGTCCGCTAGAGTGGATTTGGTTAAGAGGCCAATTCACATTTCCTGAGTCTCCTGAGTTTGGTACTCTTGGCTTTCGCTAGAGGCTAATTGAAACCGGTAAAATGGGCTTAACTTGCGCATTTCTGCTTTCAGGGTTAACGCTTATATTCTCATGCAGGCATAAATAGCTTGTTTTTGGAGAAATCGGTTGTCCCTTAGAGAAGGTAAAGTGATACCTATTCTCAAAACAGTGGGATTTGAATCCCCACAGGCACACAAAGAAATACTCGGCTCTACGCACGGGCCAACTCCTCGAGAGTTGGGCTGCACGGGGTGAATGCAAAAACAAGGTCAATACAAATGTGCCTTTTCTATGGGCTACACATACAAAAGGTACTTCGAAGAATATATACATATCTCACCCACATCGTTATTTTTCTATCGAGTAGACATAAAATTCAAATAATAATACCTACTTATTGTAGTATTATAGAAAATAAAATGAAAATAAATTGGGGGTTTGGAGAAAAGCTTACAGAAGAATTTGTATACATTACACTTCTGATAGCGATGTTACGTTTTTCTCCTTTGAAATAACAACAAAAGGACCCAGAGATCAAATCTATATTATCAGAGTTAAGCAAGTAAGTAGGTTCTTACTATCACTTTATCTTTCTATAATCAATTGAGATGGTCGAGATATAGATATATATTTTAAAGTATCTTTTGTATGCGTATCGCGTATAAAAGGTACATTTGCATTGAACAAGTCTTTGCATTCAACCTGTGCGACCCAATCTCCCCTTAGGAAACTTAGGCCATGCGTAGGGCCGGGTACTAGAGAAAGATCGCGGGTGGCCAGGATGAGTACGGAGTAGTTAAGAGCCACGTACGTACACGGGTCCATGGGTGGATCTTGGAGCATACATGGTGAGGGCGGTCAGCTATACCTCCAACCTTGGAACATAGCTAAAGGTAATGAACTTGGCTTGATAGTACTTCTCCAGGGCTTTCTCAGCTTATTCTGTCAAGATATCGGCAATTTTGCCTTCTACCTTTCACTTTGCTCTCCCCCTTTATCTTTCCTACTTACAAACACACCTGAAAGAGACGATCTGCCCAGTAAGCCCCGTGTCACGTGACTCTTCATAAGCGACACCTCAGCAACGACAGCAGCGGCCTCCTGAGGTCACTTCCGCATCTACCAGATCTCTTACCCCCCCTCTCTATTCATACTTCTTCTTTTCTTTTTTCTTCCTCGTGACATTCGCAACTCATCACACTTTTCCATCA